AAGAAAATCTTACGCACTGAACAATATCTAATTTCCGGGGGAAAAATTGCCGGTCCAGAATATATTCTAGACCGGTCCATATGGACCACCACTATGACGTCACACATTTCTCAGGTCGATATAGTAAAATGAACGCCTTCTAAGGTGGCCCGGCAAGGTGGTAATAATGCATGATAAACCAAACCTTGTCTCCTGAAATTTATGAATTCCTGAACTGTATGAAATCCTGAACTTTGTGTAATCCTGAACTGTAAGTAATGCTGAATGCTGTATGATAATAACATTAGCTCTGTAAGTGATACAGTCCTTAACTACTTAACTATTATACAAGAATGAATTTTCCTACCTGTCAGGAGCCAGGATTAATTATTTGCACTGTTTCTTGATTGAATACTTTACATTGTGCGCAATCACATCACAATTATATGCTGTCTTTTTATTGCAACCAGAATGTCATTCATTGTCTCTGCCACTGAAGGCCCATTAATGCACCAAGGGATCATGGGATTGCACCTCACCTCCTTTTAAAGAGGAACAATTGATCATCAGTCATCATATTCCTCTGAAGAACTGAGGCATGATGGGATCAAACCTCTTCTAGAAAAGCACATAATGCCCCATGATACATCACCAATCATCATCATCGTAATCCTCTATTATAACCTCCTCCTCTATGGGAGGCTGTATTGTTTGTTGACTGTTCGTGAGATCTGTTGCGTTTGGTAATGATGAGGTAGTGGAGGGTGGTTCTAAGTTAGAGTCTGTCTCTAATGAGTCCATTATGTCCTTCTCACTAAGCACCTCTGACCTGGAATACAAACATCAGTCTTGTATGAAATGTTTTAACTTCTATATTAAGAGTTAAGTCAATATACATAATACTTGTTTATATATGTACTATTGTAATACTTGTTGATTTCTGTAATGATTTTTTATCTATTAAAATTATATGAACATATTTACGTGTTATCGTCTCCAAATGTCTTTATTTCCAATTCCAAAAGTGAATTGCACATTTTATAGGAAATATGAGTCCTACTTCATTGAATTATTTCAATTAATAAACATTAATTACCTTGTGGAAGAAAACTTGGGAAATCTTGTTAGTTCTTGTAGGAATGTGATCTGACCTGGAAAATAAAAGAAATTGTAATTATAGTAAGGATCTGGGAATATTCATAATGAATATGTTAAATATATTGACAACAACAGTTCTAGTTAAATCTAACCATTATTCTAAGTATTTAAGAAATATAGACTGAAGAGCAGGGGTAATATTGTAAATATATTGACAACAACAGTTCTAAATAAATCTAACCATTATTCTAAGTATTTCTTTTTAATTAATTTCAACATCATATGTATTTCGCAAATTTTTATTTTTTTACCAGGATATCTAAGAGTTGAGTTCGTCATGGCGAGATATGGCAGTATGTCTGTTTCCAAGTCCCTCTTGGAGTAGTGCAGATCTGAAATAGAGAGTAACATCTGAGAGCAAGTGATTTAATAAATTAATATGTCTGAGTCTGTTGTTGAAGGATGGTTCATTACCTGAATTTACACATTTAGCCTCAGTCCCATTGAATAAAATAGAAGAAACTCAATGATGACATTTAGTTCTTACCTTTAAAAATTCCCTTTGCTGCAGTACTATTATCCAATGCCTGAAAAAGAAATAAAACAGATGCATAGTCAAAACTGGTTGACATTACCCCTGACATTACTCCAACTGACCCTTTTGCATTAATAAAGAAAAAGACCCATTTAAATTTATAGCCTCTTCCCATTGGCTCACAGGTTAACATATCCTTTTATAAATATATCTACGAGGGTTGTCCCAGAAGTAATGCACTATATGCTCTAACTTTATCAATAATTGATATTTTTCCATGAAATTTTCAGTAAATGTTCCTTAGAGACATTTTTTTTATACTAGAAATTTTCATGTTGACTGATAAAACTATATTGATGTTATAATAAAATCAAGTTGGTGAGTTTGGGTAGGGCAGGGCAGGTTATACAGTCACGTCAAAAGGAATAAAAAATTGAAAATCTGAAATAATTAATCAACAAATACCATTTGGTGTAGCTATGAGAAGTATGCTCAAAAATACATTTAAAGATACTAAATTACTATGAGCACATCCTAGATTTAATGGATGTATATTGCACAGTGTCCCATTTCACATTTTCTCAAAATATTGCCCTTTGCATGTTATGTACTTTTGATGCCTGTCAGGTCAAATTTCTTCCACTGTGACTTGTGGAGTTTTTGCCTCCCATGTTTGGAGTTGTCATACAGGGTCAAATCTTCTCTTTTAAATCTCTTCTGCCACCCCATAATTGTAGTTCTATCTGGTATATACTCCTTATATACTTTCTACATGGTAGCATTGTTTTGCGTGGCTGTGAGTCCAAGTGAAGTATGAAATTAGGCCACCAAACGCAAGGCCTTCTGTTATCAGGTGAGAATTGCAGCCATTTTGCAATTTCTTGACTGTGACTTTATTTGAATTCGTGACTATTGAAATGTGGTATTATGACATCACGCTAAATGTCATTATTCCTACTTGATTAACATCATGTTGAATAAGAACAGTTTCCCAAACATTTTGACCATTTAAAGGAAAGAAATATTAATAAAATAACACTTTAGATATTTTCATAATTAGAAAAATTGGTACCTGCCCCGCCCACCCCTACCCCATGTTGTTATAGCAACCATATTAAGACTTAATATTAATGTTGGATGCTTGAACTTCAGGATATAATAGATAAAACTTCAATTGTTATATACACAAAATTTCAGCTGAATTGAAGAATATTAAAGAAAGTTAGAGCATATAGTGCATTTACCTCTGGGACAACCCTCGTATTAGGGTGGTCCAAAATATGGCGAAAAACCAACTTTCTTTCGGATCATCTTCCTCATTTGACTTACTGTTGTCCATGACCTAAAACACCTGCACACCAAATTTTGAGACCCAAATCCCATGGGAAATTTACCCACACTTCGACTGAAAAATTCGGTTATTTCATGATTTTTTGCTATTTTCGATAAATTGCCATCTCCTTTTCCTGGTATAAAATGTTTATATTTTTCATAATAACATTTTTGTAGGACTCTTTATTACTTAATAATACTAGGAGCCCAAACACCAAATTTTGAGACCCAAATCCCATGTGAAATTTACCCATGCTTTGACTGAAAAATTGTGATTTTCACAGTTTTGTCCGATTTTCAATAGATTACTGTCTCCATTTTCCTGGTATAATATGTTTCCATACACCAAATATCCACCAAATTTTGAGACCCAAATCCAATGAGAACGTTACCCATGCTTTGACTGAAAACTGGTGCTTATGATAGCTTATGATGTCTGTTTTAGGGGCATAATATGTTAATAAACATTATGGTAATTCCTTCTTAATCCAAAGAAACACCTAAATATCAAGACTTTAAGTCTTATTGAAAGGCGACAAATTCAGTAGTTTGGGGAAAATTTAGGATCTTTTACTTGTACATTTATATACTGTGGTTAATATTAAGAAGTGATGACTCGACAGCAACTCAAATGCCTTGAAGATTTGGTTTGTTGGTTTCAGTAGGGATCCATCACAGGACTTTGTTTGGATTTGTGTGAGATGTCATATTCTTTCTCACATCTTTGCAGGGTAAGGTCAAATATCAAATCTGATTTTCTTTGGAGAAATGATTTTTTGATTGATCAATGTATTAATGGCATGGTCTCTGTTGTAACCAGTAAGCCTGTACCAAATCTTCAAGGGATTCGAGCTTCCACTGAGCTTTGTCATTTCTCTGAAAATGTTCATGCCCTGAAAGTACACAATGTAGAAGTTAGGAAGAGCAATGAGAAACACTTAAGGTAATTCTGTATGTTCAGAAATCTTAAGTGGAGTCCAATGTTATTTCTGGAACTCATTCCATACTTGGTCAGCTCTTTCAATTTTACACTGAGTTCAAATATGTATTTAGATTATTAGTTGATGGTTAGTAATTTTCTATAATGTACTATCTGCTATGTTTATACACTGTTTGTGCATCTGAATGGAATGAGTTATGTGTTCCTGAAAAAACACGGGGCTCCAATTAGGATTGCCATTAAAACTGAAAATAAGGAATTACCTTAAAGTACTATATAACCATCTTTCACGATGTAACGTATGTAAGGCCAAACAGGATAATTAAGACTACGTGTAATACAATTTATTACAAATTGCACATCACACAACAATGATATGGTGCTCTAAACGACAAAAATCAAAAGTATATGATCAAAGCAAACGTGAATTTCCCATGGGGTTCAGGTCTAAACATTTGGTACATAGTAAATGTATGGGTTCCTAGTATTCAGAACGTATTAATGTCCTCCTAAAATGTTTAAAAACTAAATATAAGATTAATGTTGATCTATTGAAAATAGGAGAAAATTCGCAGAAAATCACAAATATTTGGTTGAAGCATGAATTAATTTCTCATGGGGCCAGGGTCTCAAAATTTGGTGCATATTTGGGGAATGGGTTCCTCGTATTATGAAGTAATAAAGAGTCCTCCCAAAAGATTTATTATAAAAAATAGAAACATATAATACCAGGAAAATAGAGATGTATTGTATTGTATATGAAATAACCCAATTTTTCAGTCGAAGCGTGGGTAAATTTCCCATGGGATTTGGGTCTCAAAATTTGATATATGGGTTCCTAAGTATTATGAAGTAATAAAGAGTCATCCAAAAATATTTATTATGAAAAGACATCTACCATTTTATACCAGGAAAATGGAGATGGCAATTTATCGAAAATAGCAAAAAATCATGAAATAACCGAATTTTTCATTCGAAGCGTGGGTAAATTTCCCATGGGATTTGGGTCTCAACATTTGGTGTATGGGTTCCTAGTATTATGAAGTAATAAAGAGTCCTACAAAAATGTTTATTATGAAAAAAATAGAAACATATTATACCAGGAAAAGTGTGTGTGTTCATGTTCAACATTGTCCTTCAAATTAATGTATTTTTCACAGATTTAGATTGATCACTTTGTGTACTTTTTACAGGCGAATTGGCCATGTGTCATAAATTAACTTTGTTTTGGAGATTAGCTTGACCACAGATGGCAGACAGTTACGCGGACGTGCATATACCAATAGCTATGAAATTCCTATAGTTCTAGCCAAAAATGTAATTGGCAAGAACATACAGTAAATGCGACTAAAATGCAATTGAAAGCTACAGTGATGTCACCTTTTTCCTGACAGTGTAGTACTGGGGTTTATGAAGTGGTTTCCAGCCCATGTTTGTATTACTAATGCTGCCAGTCGTTGCTCTGCTTGAGTTGGAATGTATGATGCCCCTAGTTGCCACTGATGAAGCATATTCCCTCAGAGCCTCTCTATTCTGAAAGAGCAAAAAGAGAACTATTATTTCAGTGTGAGGTTTCCAGCCCATGTTTGTATTACTAATGCTGCTAGTTGTTGCTCTGCTTGAGTTGGAATGTATGATGCCCCTAGTTGCCACTGATGAAGCATATTCCCTCAGAGCCTCTCTATTCTAAAAGAGCAAAAAGAGAACTATTATTTCAGTGTGAGGTTTCCAGCCCATGTTTGTATTACTAATGCTGCTAGTTGTTGCTCTGCTTGAGTTGGAATGTATGATGCCCCTAGTTGCCACTGATGAAGCATATTCCGTCAGAACCTCTCTATTCTAAAAGAGCAAAAAGAGAACCATTATTTTATGAAGTGGTTTCCAACCCATGTTTGTATTACTAATGCTGCTAGTTGTTGCTCTGCTTGAGTTAGAATGTATGATGCCCCTAGTTGCCACTGATGAAGCATATTCCGTCAGAGCCTCTCTATTCTAAAAGAGCAAAAAGAGAACCATTATTTTATGAAGTGGTTTCCAACCCATGTTTGTATTACTAATGCTGCTAGTTGTTGCTCTGCTTGAGTTGGAATGTATGATGCCCCTAGTTGCCACTGATGAAGCATATTCCCTCAGAGCCTCTCTATTCAAAAAGAGCAAAAAGAGAACCATTATTTTATGAAGTGGTTTCCAACCCATGTTTGTATTACTAATGCTGCTAGTTGTTGCTCTGCTTGAGTTGGAATGTATGATGCCCCTAGTTGCCACTGATGAAGCATATTCCCTCAGAGCCTCTCTATTCAAAAAGAGCAAAAAGAGAACCATTATTTTATGAAGTGGTTTCCAACCCATGTTTGTATTACTAATGCTGCTAGTTGTTGCTCTGCTTGAGTTGGAATGTATGATGCCCCTAGTTGCCACTGATGAAGCATATTCCCTCAGAGCCTCTCTATTCAAAAAGAGCAAAAAGAGAACCATTATTTTATGAAGTGGTTTCCAACCCATGTTTGTATTACTAATGCTGCTAGTTGTTGCTCTGTTGAGTTGGAATGTATGATGCCCCAAGTTGCCACTGATGAAGCATATTCCGTCAGAGCCTCTCTATTCTAAAAGAGCAAAAAGAGAACCATTATTTTATGAAGTGGTCTCCAACCCATGTTTGTATTACTAATGCTGCTAGTTGTTGCTCTGCTTGAGTTGGAATGTATGATGCCCCTAGTTGCCACTGATGAAGCATATTCCCTCAGAGCCTCTCTATTCAAAAAGAGCAAAAAGAGAACCATTATTTTATGAAGTGGTTTCCAACCCATGTTTGTATTACTAATGCTGCTAGTTGTTGCTCTGCTTGAGTTGGAATGTATGATGCCCCTAGTTGCCACTGATGAAGCATATTCCCTCAGAGCCTCTCTATTCTGAAAGAGCAAAAAGAGAACTATTATTTCAGTGTGAGGTTTCCAGCCCATGTTTGTATTACTAATGCTGCTAGTTGTTGCTCTGCTTGAGTTGGAATGTATGATGCCCCTAGTTGCCACTGATGAAGCATATTCCGTCAGAGCCTCTCTATTCTAAAAGAGCAAAAAGAGAACCATTATTTTAAGAAGTGGTTTCCAACCCATGTTTGTATTACTAATGCTGCTAGTTGTTGCTCTGCTTGAATTGGAATGTATGATGCCCCAAGTTGCCACTGATGAAGCATATTCCCTCAGAGCCTCTCTATTGTAAAAGAGCAAAAAGAGAACCATTATTTTATGAAGTGGTTTCCAACCCATGTTTGTATTACTAATGCTGCTAGTTGTTGCTCTGCTTGAGTTGGAATGTATGATGCCCCTAGTTGCCACTGATGAAGCATATTCCCTCAGAGCCTCTCTATTCAAAAAGAGCAAAAAGAGAACCATTATTTTATGAAGTGGTTTCCAACCCATGTTTGTATTACTTATGCTGCTAGTTGTTGCTCTGCTTGAGTTGGAATGTATGATGCCCCAAGTTGCCACTGATGAAGCATATTCCCTCAGAGCCTCTCTATTCTATTGTAAGAGCAAAAAGAGAACCATTATTTTATGAAGTGGTTTCCAACCCATGTTTGTATTACTTATGCTGCTAGTTGTTGCTCTGCTTGAGTTGGAATGTATGATGCCCCAAGTTGCCACTGATGAAGCATATTCCCTCAGAGCCTCTCTATTCTAAAAGAGCAAAAAGAGAACCATTATTTTATGAAGTGGTTTCCAACCCATGTTTGTATTACTAATGCTGCTAGTTGTTGCTCTGCTTGAGTTGGAATGTATGATGCCCCAAGTTGCCACTGATGAAGCATATTCCCTCAGAGCCTCTCTATTCTATTGTAAAAGAGCAAAAAGAGAACCATTATTTTATGAAGTGGTTTCCAACCCATGTTTGTATTACTAATGCTGCTAGTTGTTGCTCTGCTTGAGTTGGAATGTATGATGCCCCTAGTTGCCACTGATGAAGCATATTCCCTCAGAGCCTCTCTATTCTAAAAGAGCAAAAAGAGAACCATTATTTTATGAAGTGGTTTCCAACCCATGTTTGTATTACTAATGCTGCTAGTTGTTGCTCTGCTTGAGTTGGAATGTATGATGCCCCAAGTTGCCACTGATGAAGCATATTCCCTCAGAGCCTCTCTATTCTATTGTAAGAGCAAAAAGAGAACCATTATTTTATGAAGTGGTTTCCAACCCATGTTTGTATTACTAATGCTGCTAGTTGTTGCTCTGCTTGAGTTGGAATGTCTGATGCCCCAAGTTGCCACTGATGAAGCATATTCCCTCAGAGCCTCTCTATTGTAAAAGAGCAAAAAGAGAACCATTATTTTATGAAGTGGTTTCCAACCCATGTTTGTATTACTAATGCTGCTAGTTGTTGCTCTGCTTGAGTTGGAATGTATGATGCCCCTAGTTGCCACTGATGAAGCATATTCCCTCAGAGCCTCTCTATTCTAAAAGAGCAAAAAGAGAACCATTATTTTATGAAGTGGTTTCCAACCCATGTTTGTATTACTAATGCTGCTAGTTGTTGCTCTGCTTGAGTTGGAATGTAGGATGCCCCTAGTTGCCACTGATGAAGCATATTCCCTCAGAGCCTCTCTATTCTATTGTAAAAGAGCAAAAAGAGAACCATTATTTCATGAAGTGGTTTCCAACCCATGTTTGTATTACTAATGCTGCTAGTTGTTGCTCTGCTTGAGTTGGAATGTATGATGCCCCTAGTTGCCACTGATGAAGCATATTCCCTCAGAGCCTCTCTATTGTAAAAGAGCAAAAAGAGAACTATTATTTTATGAAGTGGTTTCCAACCCATGTTTGTATTACTAATGCTGCTAGTTGTTGCTCTGCTTGAGTTGGAATGTATGATGCCCCTAGTTGCCACTGATAAAGCATATTCCCTCAGAGCCTCTCTATTCTAAAAGAGCAAAAAGAGAACCATTATTTTATGAAGTGGTTTCCAACCCATGTTTGTATTACTAATGCTGCTAGTTGTTGCTCTGCTTGAGTTGGAATGTATGATGCCCCTAGTTGCCACTGATGAAGCATATTCCCTCAGAGCCTCTCTATTCTATTGTAAAAGAGCAAAAAGAGAACCATTATTTTATGAAGTGGTTTCCAACCCATGTTTGTATTACTAATGCTGCTAGTTGTTGCTCTGCTTGAGTTGGAATGTATGATGCCCCTAGTTGCCACTGATGAAGCATATTCCCTCAGAGCCTCTCTATTCTAAAAGAGCAAAAAGAGAACCATTATTTTATGAAGTGGTTTCCAACCCATGTTTGTATTACTAATGCTGCTAGTTGTTGCTCTGCTTGAGTTGGAATGTATGATGCCCCTAGTTGCCACTGATGAAGCATATTCCCTCAGAGCCTCTCTATTCTATTGTAAAAGAGCAAAAAGAGAACCATTATTTTATGAAGTGGTTTCCAACCCATGTTTGTATTACTAATGCTGCTAGTTGTTGCTCTGCTTGAGTTGGAATGTATGATGCCCCAAGTTGCCACTGATGAAGCATATTCCCTCAGAGCCTCTCTATTGTAAAAGCGCAAAAAGAGAACCATTATTTTATGAAGTGGTTTCCAACCCATGTTTGTATTACTAATGCTGCTAGTTGTTGCTCTGCTTGAGTTGGAATGTATGATGCCCCAAGTTGCCACTGATGAAGCATATTCCCTCAGAGCCTCTCTATTCTATTGTAAAAGAGCAAAAAGAGAACCATTATTTTATGAAGTGGTTTCCAACCCATGTTTGTATTACTAATGCTGCTAGTTGTTGCTCTGCTTGAGTTGGAATGTATGATGCCCCAAGTTGCCACTGATGAAGCATATTCCCTCAGAGCCTCTCTATTGTAAAAGAGCAAAAAGAGAACCATTATTTTATGAAGTGGTTTCCAACCCATGTTTGTATTACTAATGCTGCTAGTTGTTGCTCTGCTTGAGTTGGAATGTATGATGCCCCAAGTTGCCACTGATGAAGCATATTCCCTCAGAGCCTCTCTATTCTATTGTAAAAGAGCAAGACTGTAACATGTAAGAGTAAATACATAGCGTCAAATATTAATGATATATGTTTTATGTCTTTTAGATAAATAAACATAGATGTTAATTCAAGGGTTGCCACAACATTTGTCAAACAAATTTAACACAATTTTTAGTTTTTACCTGACTGAAGAGTGAAGTTCTTTTTTTTTGTTGACAAAAATCAATACTCAAAACTCACATACTAAAATTCCCCAACTATTTAAGGAGGAATTCTGAAACTTCCTTTTCAAGGTCAAGTAGAACCATTTTGATTTTGCCTCAAGTCCACTCGATCTTAGATTTTCAATGTAATGATTGGATTCAAACTGAATCCAACTCTTGTATGTTGTATTTAATCTATTCAACTTACACTCCATTCATTTGTGAGGTAATCTGCGCTACTTATGTACTCAGTGGAGGCAGCGAGGTCATCTATACTAGTGTAGAACTCTGGGTAATTCTGGTGAAGGTAGGCAGTAAACACATCCCCCGATAAACAACATCTCTCTACCACTGACTGGAAAAAGCGTAATAAAAATATGTATGGTTTCATAGAGAAATGGACAATGGCATTCTTATGAAAGAGTAATAGTGGTATTCTTAGGTGTCAATTAATAACATAAATGTTTTCCTAAAATCTGGCAATCATAATATTGAGGATTCTACAAGAGTTTGCTGTAACATTCTAAAGGACCTTTCATGATTTTCATTACACATCTTTTCCTAATTATCTGGAACACCTTTCTTGGTTAAGTCAGTATTTGGTATAGATATTGTTGCCTATTGTTCAATAATTTTTTGATAATAACCTCTTACAAACAAATCTCTGAGAGTGGTGAGGTTACTTTTAAGACAGGATAATTTGAAATACCTCCCAATTATTCTGTTTTATTTGCAGTAATAATATTCATTGTTTTTCCTGATCATTTTACATCTTGTCTTTTAGTAAGATTGGGAATTTCTCTGAGTGACTAGTCCAGATATTGTATGTTGTAAATCTACAGACTTCTCATCATTGTATTTCTATATCAAAATAAACAGTTTGTTCAATGAAATATGTTATGCATTTTATATGGTGGATCTACTGACCTCTGGATTAATGGTGAGGGGGTCTCTATATTGATGGACTAAGTGTTTGGGTAAATCAGGTACTGCAACATCATCAGACAATTCAGATTTCTCACATCCTGAAAATACCAATATAGCTGTCAATAAGAGCCATTTCCATTTCATAAAATGAGAATCATATAAAGTGAATCATTATTTTTTATTCCACTTTAAAGTATTTATCAATAATTTATCATTTAAAATAGCAATGTCAACAAGGCATATGTCCTTCCAATATCTCATGGTCCATGAATCACCAAAAATGCACTTCAGAGACAAGATTTCGGGCCAGAAAATCAAAGATGGTTATCTTGAAATTTAACCTGTTATGTCCAACATCTTATCACCTTAGGATTTCAATTCCCAGAGGAAGCATAAATCATAAATCAAACTTGAAAATTCAAAATCCATCCATCAAACAGTTTGACAATTTAAAATAAATCCTTCAAAGCATGTAGACAAACTTCTGAGCCATTCACCTCCCAACTTTAAGGCCTGCTTGGCAAAGCAAAAGTATAATATAAAGAAAATCAAGTATACAAATGTCAAGCATCTATTTGGTGTTCATAAATCTTACTCTTGCAGTACAGTATTTTCCCCAGTGCTCTAAACATAAACAAAGATGCGTCCTTTCCCCCAATAGACATGTCTTCAGAGTTGGTGTCATTCTTGGTGGCTTTCTGAGATTTCTTTAACTTGACACTTGCTCCATTATTTGTCCTTTTCACTCCTTTCTTACGACAGAGATCTGATGTATCTGCAATAACACAACAAAACTTGTGTCTCAAGGTTATTACATGAATAATCTTTGAGGAGAAGCTGAACTAAATTGCAAAATTTCGTAAGATTTCACTTATTCAAAACAAAATGATGACTCTTTTGTAAAACTTAAAAATACAGTAAACTTATGAAGTGAACAGAGAACAAATCATGTCAGAAAATGGTATGGAACTACAGTTCAAAACATTTAGTTTTATTCAGCAGGTATGGGACACCCTGTACTTTGTTCTATACTCACCTTTAAGGCAGGCAAACTGTAGTGAATTAATTGCTCCTCTGATGTCCCCTGCACTTCCCATTGCAAGGGATTCTATTGTAGCTTTGGCAGGTACACTGATGCCAGATCTATTCTGAAATGGAAGAATAACCAATGTTGTTTATGTAGAAGCGAGTTTGAAATGAAAGAATTACCAATGTTGTTTATATAGAGGCGAGTTTGAAAAGGAAGAATTACCAATGTTGTTTATATAGAGGCGAGTTTGAAATGGAAGAATTACCAATGTTGTTTATATATAGAGGCATGTTTGAAATGAAATAATTACCAATGTTGTTTATATAGAGGTGTGTTTGAAATGGAAGAATTACCAATGTTGTTTATATAGAGGCGTGTTTGAAATGGAAGAATTACCAATGTTGTTTATATAGAGGCGAGTTTGAAATGAAAGAATTACCAATGTTGTTTATATAGAGGTGAGTTTGAAATGAAAGAATTACCAATGTTGTTTATATAGAGGCGAGTTTGAAATGAAAGAATTACCAATGTTGTTTATATAGAGGCCTGTTTGAAATGAAAGAATTACCAATGTTGTTTATATAGAGGTGAGTTTGAAATGGAAGAATTACCAATGTTGTTTATATAGAGGCGAGTTTGAAATGAAAGAATTACCAATGTTGTTTATATAGAGGCCTGTTTGAAATGAAAGAATTACCAATGTTGTTTATATAGAGGTGAGTTTGAAATGGAAGAATTACCAATGTTGTTTATATAGAGGCGAGTTTGAAATGAAAGAATTACCAATGTTGTTTATATAGAGGCGAGTTTGAAATGGAAGAATTACCAATGTTGTTTATATATAGAGGCATGTTTGAAATGAAATAATTACCAATGTTGTTTATATAGAGGCGAGTTTGAAATGAAAGAATTACCAATGTTGTTTATATAGAGGCCTGTTTGAAATGAAAGAATTACCAATGTTGTTTATATAGAGGTGAGTTTGAAATGGAAGAATTACCAATGTTGTTTATATAGAGGCGAGTTTGAAATGAAAGAATTACCAATCTTGTTTATATAGAGGCGAGTTTGAAATGAAAGAATTACCAATGTTGTTTATATAGAGGTGAGTTTGAAATGAAAGAATTACCAATGTTGTTTATATAGAGGCGTGTTTGAAATGAAAGAATTACCAATGTTGTTTATATAGAGGCGTGTTTGAAATGAAAGAATTACCAATGTTGTTTATATAGAGGCGTGTTTGAAATGAAAGAATTACCAATGTTGTTTATATAGAAGCGAGTTTGAAATGAAAGAATTACCAATGTTGTTTATATATAGAGGCATGTTTGAAATGAAAGAATTACCAATGTTGTTTATATAGAGGGGAGTTTGAAATGAAAGAATTAGCAATGTTGTTTATATAGAGGCGTGTTTGAAATGAAAGAATTACCAATGTTGTTTATATAGAGGCGTGTTTGAAATGAAAGAATTACCAATGTTGTTTATATAGAAGCGAGTTTGAAATGAAAGAATTACCAATGTTGTTTATATATAGAGGCATGTTTGAAATGAAAGAATTACCAATGTTGTTTATATAGAGGGGAGTTTGAAATGAAAGAATTAGCAATGTTGTTTATATAGAGGCGTGTTTGAAATGAAAGAATTACCAATGTTGTTTATATAGAGGCGTGTTTGAAATGAAAGAATTACCAATGTTGTTTATATAGAAGCGAGTTTGAAATAAAAGAATTACCAATGTTGTAATGTTGTTTATATAGAGGTGAGTTTGAAATAAAAGAATTACCAATGTTGTAATGTTGTTTATATAGAGGTGAGTTTGTTGACCTGTAGCTTGGATAATTGGTTCATCATTTTCTTATAGGTTAACTCTACAAATGCTCATGGTTCAAATCCAAAATGGGTCATTCAATTACAACTACATGAGGACTAAACAGGATGCATGGTTGAGCAATTCCAAAATGGCTGTCCTACATTGCTTTCAGATCAAATGTATTCATAACATCTCATACCAATTATGTACTTGTATGTATCTCACCTTTTGGTGCTCCTCAGTAGCAATCTTTGTGAGGACCTTGGAGAGACTAGTTGGCGCTATGGGGTTAAAGCTGGAAATGTTTCAAATGTTATATGTGAGTGTCCAACAATTGGTTAAAAGTTATCAGGATTAGATGATAACATTGTTGATTATTTACAATGTAGCCATAGTGAATAAAATCCAATGCACTAAATGAGAAATGGTATTCTCATACTTATGAGATATCTTGAAAATCTACTTAGTTTTTTTTACTTCTTGCTTCATTCCTTATAAGGCATATTTAATTGACTTTGTGACCTCAAAGCTATCAGTCACAAATCAATCCTATTGAAATTACCTGATAGAATGTACTCCTAGCTCAAGTTGGATGTCTTTGGGGAATAGATGGCGCTCTGCTGACTGACCAGATGAGCTGTCACTGATGATGAACACCAGAGGGCATCGTCCTGTTGCCAGGTAACTCCTAAAAATACAGGTAAATAAAATGATAACAATGTTTTCACAACAATATTGAAAACTGTTTTATTTGCATCTTTTAAATATACCAATTACAATAAACACGAGACAAAAAAGGTTTTAATAATAAATCATGGAATAAATAATAGAGGAACATAGTTCATTCTCTTAATTGTATAGTTGTTCCAGAAAATGAGGCACATTGAAGTGGGAAATGTGTTGAAGAATTAAGGCAGAGTAACTCTTACCTTAGAGTGCTATGGAATAGAGTGGCATCTTTTAGGAATGCATTCGGAAATTCCTGAAATCAACAGAAAAATTTTAATTCAAAATTCGCTTTGGACAATATAGATTTGAAGAAGTGCTTCTTCTCTGATTTCTTTAATAATCTAGTCAAAGTGATTAATACATGTTGAAAGTGATTAATACATGTTGATTGGAATAATCATAATTTTGGAAGTTTGTATAACTTCTGCATTCATCAAACACCAATTTAATTTACACAAGTTCAATGGATAAATAATGAAATGTAAGACTATCTTTACAAGGAAATGGAAAATGTTAATCCTTTTCTTTGCCTATTGGAATTGTATACATGCAATTTTTGGAATATGGTTTCTTAACAATAGTTGGCCCACCTCCACGAGAATGATCTTGTTACGTGACGCCTCTTGGTTAAATATCTGAAGTTTGTTGTATTTGTTTGCCCGCAATAGAAAATCACTAAACTGTTTACTCTGGGACTGCGTGGGCAACCTATCTGCATAATCTAGGTAGAAAAAAGAATTTCATAATATATTGAGTACCTCCATGAAATGCCCTGAAAGTAAGTTCAGAAAACATTTCTAAAATTCTAACAGTTTTTGACTTAATTTCAAGGAAGTCCTTTAATTTTTGAGGTTGTCTGGCAAAAAATGAACAATTGGAGTCCTTTTTCATTTTTAATGAATTTGGAAATATTTTCATCTTAAATCTTGAATAACTTCTACATTAGATCAAAAGATTGCAATAATTTACACTTCTTTTCTTTGCTGCAACTTTAAATAAAAAATATTTTTCCTGTCACGTGTCAATCTGATAAGTGAGACAAAAAATATCAAGATCATTACTCTGCATCAAAAGTTGCCAAAAACAATTATCTCTTGTATTAAATACAAATGGATTTGCTCACTCACTTTGAAAAGTCCATTCCTCATCCCTTTGGGCCTCTCCTGGCAGTGGGTTGTTCCACTCCTGTATATCAGTGTGGAGTTGCTTACATATGACACGTATAGTGGCGGTCTTTCCTGACCCAGAGGCTCCAGTTAAGAGTAACAATGGTGCCTTCTATAACATACATGTACATGTATTTGGATAACTTATTTATGATTACGTTAGAAATGAACAATCTTAGGCCATTTTTGAAAATATTGTATATCATGACGCTGAAGTTCACCTAGATATTTTTATCTCCACACAGTATCTAATTACATGTTTCATAATTCAGGGTATTTCTAAAAAGGGTCTCCTGGCTTATATCCAGTCCTCTCAACCAATGATAAAGAAATCATGGAGATGTAATGTGTGTGAGCGTCATTCAAACAGATTGGCATGCTTTAGGTTGGTAGTCATATATTGCCTAAGATAACCTGATGTACATAAAATTATGCTTGATATATATGATGATTTACACAAAATTTACCAGTTCAGGCCAATGTGATTCAATTCTATGTTTTTGAGGCAAAATGAGGAGGATGATAAAAACATGCTAAACGCTCAATAATTTACTTTGCCTAAATCACTGCAATAAAAGGAATTCAGGAGGAATATAGATACATTTCACTTTCTGCCTTTGCAGAATACATTGCTGTAGTTATAAACTATTCAGACGACAGGAAATCCAGTAGGTGGAACACCTCTGTAAGTGGAACACCTCTATAAGTAGAACACTTTTCAGATGAATAACCAATTGACTCAATATTAAAATAGAACACCTCTCAAGTTGGAATGTACCAAAAGTGTTCCACTTACACAGGTTTTACTACATATAGCTAGCTACCTGTGAGTGTTTCTTCCTAACCAAGTGATGATTCAGCCAAGTCTCAACTTCTTCGATTTTCTTTTTGTGTACTGCCAACTCTGTCTAAAAAATACACATTTAGATTTTTGAACATTATTCTCTGGGTCTTTTGTTTTATATAGTTTTAATCCATGAACTAGAGTGCCAATTATTCTACAAATTATATGACTTTGGTCTGTTTTGTCATCTTCTTTGATTTTTCCTCAAATACATTTTTTCAATCATTCACAACATAATTATAGATCTGAATTTCAACATACCAAAAATATTTTGTTTTGTATTGAGAGTTTGTGTTTTTTATTGAGTTTTTATTGAGTTATTAAATTTCTGGATCGAGACTCTTTGATTATCATCAATAATATCATAAAGAAGATCAATCTTCCTTAATTCCTTAATATATAAGATAGAGAGTAAAACCTGTATATCTTTTTACAGTTCCCCTTTTAATCTGCGATAGAACACACAATGGCAGTTCATAGTGGGTGCTGATGAGGCAGGGTATAATGGGCAAAAACATACATAGAGTGGACTAACCTGTAACTTGGGAGAATGTTTCTCTGACCAAAGACTAGAATCTGAGAGCGCCTTGGCCAATCGTTTACCACCAAGAGACCCCTTGGTTCCAGCTAGAACTCCCTTTGTAGACTGACTACTTGATCCTTTTCTTGATGCCTTCACGGAAGATATAGTAGGCTTGACGTGATCATTTCCAAAGTCATCAAAATCATCAAAGGCAGAGGAGACCCATGAATTTCGCTTCTGAAAGACAAGACTTTTATGATAGAGACTTTTTTACATACATGCATGTGCCAAATTCATTGCCCCACACAAATCGAGCCCAGGATCTTCCGCTCCAGATTCTGATGCTCTACCACTTGAGACCTGTAGTAGCAACTTGTTATCCAGGGTCATAACACCATCCCCCTGAAGGATGATGTCCTGTTGTAACTGATTCACAAGGGCAAATCCACTTCAGACACCAACATAATGATGCATGGACACGCTCGTCTGGGCAGCTGTAGTGTAAAAGATACTAGACTTGAAAGGGAGTGTGCTAAATTCAATGCCCTGTGCAGCAGGTAGGAGACAGGTTACTGAAAAAATGAAAAAAAGCTAGATTCTAATAAGTGATTATCTGTATATTCACTTTTTAGCTCTCTGTATTATCATTTTTTCAGTAAACTAACCTATGGTGTGAGAATCGAACCCAGGACCTTCAGCTCCAATGTCTGACGCTCTACCACTCGAGCAATGTACAACATGTTCTGCTATGGCCTATCATGGGCTTTTAGAACGGATTATGGGAAGTCCTACTATTAGTAGATTGTATTCACCAGGTTATGCAGCTAAAATTCCCCTTTCATATTTTCATGGCTACTGATGAGTATTATTTTTTGAAAATACCATGGGCTTTCAAGAGAAAGCCTGTGAAAATATCAATATTTTTTTCAGAAATTGGACTAGCTTCATCACAGATGCCGGCACTATCATATTATATAGTAGAAGGCTAGGCTCAATAATTAAAACTGAAGATAAGACACCAACTTATATTTCAAATTTGCATTTCACGACTGAGCAGCCATTACTGTATTTGTGACAAATCATACCTCATTCAAAGGGTCTTGTTATTCTGTATCTCCGTAATCACAAACAAAGGTTATTCAAACATTCCTGCGTTAATAAGAGTCAAAAATAAGATAATTTCATCCTCCAGGACTGAGTGCGCCAAATTTTTGTTCAATGTCATGGATTTCCGGAACCTCCCTGAATGTGATGTAGTGATTACAATAGGAAGCGCACCAAATATGAAGATGTTTGCATTGTTTTGATCATTTCTTTGAATAGTGACGCCAGAGAAACAATGAAGTTTGTGAGCATATTTGGCGTATTTGATCCCGGAGCACACAAACCAAAAATACATATGTCGCAGTTAAACTCAAACTACAGCGTTCTTACCTCATCTTATGAAAACAAATTGCAAAAGAAAATTGAGGATATAGGCTATACAAGACTTGCAAGCTCTGTTGCAGAAAAGAAAGGTATCAATGTTTGAGGGATGTTCTGAAGGGTAGTCAATTTTTTCCAGTGATATTTCAATTCGGTGACTCCTCTTGAGTTTTTCTTAGCCTAGCCTACTACTACATATGGTCTGGTATCTGTAACCATGGACGCATATTGATATATGTCCATGCTGTGACACAGGAACCTGTATCAACACCTGAGAGTGACATCTATTGGTGAAGGTTTATTGCTAAGGTTTTTCCACAAATAGATGTAACCACGGACGTGAGTCAGCGTTTCTTTCGAAACTTACTGCCATATAATTTTACCAGGATTGGAAACAAGCAGCCAACACTTTGGCAGAAGGTCATGTGATCACCTCTTCATAAACAGGCATCTTTGGTTAACTCTTGGAAAATGTGTGCTTGTGATTGATGTGATTGATGGATGTCACTGTCAGGTGTTGATACAGGTTTGTGTGATCTGTGAGCTTCATGACCTCTTGTAGTCCAAAAACATTAGACCTAGCCCTCATTTCTTATCTGACTGGTCTGATGGCCCCCGGCTAGATAACTTTGCAGGACGTCCAATTGTCCCGCAATTTGCATATATTTGTCACGCATTTGCTAGAAAATTTGAAGTTACGCCAGTTATTTTTGCGTGACAGAATATGTCACGCAACTACGCATTTTACCTGATTATTGTCAAGCAAAAATATTCCTGTAGAAAAACTTCAAAAAAGTGATCGCCGATACAGCACAGAACTGACGCCAAAAAAAAAGAACGCATTTCATTCAGATTTTTCACGCGTACACCGTATATGTCACACATTTTTTCTCGAAATATTTCGTACCTACTAGATTTCGTACCAGCTATCAATCAGAATAATAAAGAAAGCCGTACACTGAGTTCTACTTCTTGTAGAACTATAGACCTCTAGCCTTGATCTTTGGCTTTTAGACTAGAGGTGAACCAACCATAGACAATTATGAACTCCCAATGTGCAAATGATGAATGCAAAAAATAATAACATATGTATAATGCATACTCTTACCATAGTAACAGTTCAATCTATATAGCAGGCATCAGATATTGGTGAAAAAGCTGTGTTATTTACAAATGTTTGAAGTTTCTTCAAATTCATAAATGCTGCTTTCCAATTTCAAACTTTTAAGGAAACGGAAACACAATTTACAGTTTTATGTTCATAAGGAATAAATTAAATTCAAGTAAAATAATTGAATAATTCATAGTTATAATTTTTCCTTGTTTATTTTCCATGTTTCTGTAATCTTACGGAGGTAAAGAAACCGAACTAGATACTGAAACATTTGGCAACAGTTATATCCTGGCGTAACTTTACTTCCGGTAAAATGTATGGCAGAGGCAACCGCCCGGGAGACTCAGATTGGGTCTGCTCCGATGGCTCGTAAGTGCAACTTGTCTAGTTATTGTTCCTTGAGCTAGAATATATACTTATCTATCACATGTACAGTTTTGGTATTCGCCCATAATTGAATTCAACTAGGGCTTTGATATTTACAGTTATTTTGAATTGTTTTTCAAGAAATTCAAATTCAATCATTGATTGACAATTGACAGACTGACAGTCTCTCTCAATTTGGACAGAAATAATCAGCAAACATGTAGATGAAAATTAGCCTAATTGACATAACTAGCTAAATAAAGATATTGTTTATTTAGGGTATAGTTATATAGTTACAATGATCGTGATATATTCTTGTAGCATGGATGTTAAAGGTTCAGCTGGAAAGTAACATTTTGGTAAAAAATTGCTATACCTGCACATGTTATTTTCCGGTACAAAATAAAGTATGAAGGCATGTGTCAATTTCCTTGCTTTTTTCAGGAAAGTATCATTACACTGTTTACTTTTAGAATATCTGGAAACAGGTCAATGGTAGGTCCTGTGTTGTCTGGAAACTTTGAAAGAAAATTTGGAAAAATAGAAAGTGTGAAATATCATAATTTCCTGGAGTTCCCATTGAACCCCTACCAGATATTCTAAAAGAAGACAATGTAATGATACTTTCCTGAAAAAAGCAAGGAAATTGACACATGCCTTCATACTTTATTTTGTACCGGAAAATAACATGTGCAGGTATAGCAATTTTTTACCAAAATGTTACTTTCCAGCTGTACCTTAAAGACATGGGCTTTCATTACTTCGGTCCAAAGCCTTCTATATTGCGGCTTTGAGTTGAAAGATTGAGCTGCCTTGGTATTATAAATATTGTAAATCATTGTGTCACACGCACAGTAAATACGGCATAATAATATGAAATATACCTCTATGTATAGATTTGAAGAACATCAGCTCACATCCCCATCTGAATCTACATGTATTGTTAATTATATTTGATTTCTTTAAGTGAGAATAATTTCAAAGTTTCCTTCATTTAATTCACGTCCATAACCGGAAGCCATTTTTTAGCTACAGCGAGAAAATTTCACCATGTGCCAAACTCCGAAAAGAAATTTTGAAATATCTAATCCAGACAAGCAACGCTTCATCCTAAATATAATTTAGGCCATCCGTACATACATGTAAAAAACAAAATGAAAATGTTAAACTTTGTTTTTCAGATGTGGGAATGTAAACTTTTCAAGAAGAACATCTTGCAATAGATGTGGGAAGGGTAAGTATGTCAAATGAAATATAACAGGGGTCCCTGTTTTCAATATTTGAATTTAAATACTGTACTCCCAGTAATTTTCACAAGCTACTATATTTCGCGTTTTTCGCAAATTTTGGAAAATTCGCAAAATATAATAGCCCCGAAATTCCTCCAGTTTTAATTTGAGAAATTTGATAGTCGCGAAATTCCACGGAAATCCCGGGGATTTCAATGTAGACAATATTTTCATCCAGTGCTGGGCGATAATAGGTAAAAACATGACATTTTGAGTTTTGAAAAAGAGAAATTAGAAGAGAGATCGTTATTACTGTATTAAAATGAACATTCTAACATAAGGGTTAATAAGAAGCCAAAATCATTGGGTGAAGTAACAATCATGTCTGATATCAAAGTCGAAAGAGTGGTCCTGTATGACAAAGCCGCGGAAATTAATAGTTGTGAAATTTCGAAAAACTGAAAATTGGCGAAATATAATTGCCGCGAAATTTCAAAATGCCAAAAATGTGAAATATAATAGCATCAAATATTAGTGGGAGTACAGTATTCCCTAATAGGATTAGGAAATAAACTAGCAAAATAAGTGAAAGATGTTGAATTTTAAAAAGAGTGCTAATGTACTTGTTCATACCAATGACCTAAAACTTATAACTTAGGTTGGTTACATTTTTAGTCTTGCATGTAACACCCCCCCCCCCCTCATCCCAGTCTGCTTACCTCTGTAGGTGGATGGAGGAGGAAGAACATATGGACCTGATGGAAAACTTAATTATTTAAATCATTATATTTAGTGCCATTTAAAATTAACTACTGTTTGGATTTCTAGATCGTGACTATGACTTCAAGAAGACAAAAAAAGGTGGAATTGAGATTGGAAAGTCAATGGCTGAGAAAAGTAAAGGACTTTTCAGTGCAGATGACTGGCAGTGTAAAACGTATGTCATATCTTTTTTTTTGGTTAATTTTTGAACAAGTCATTTTGTCATTATACTATGGAGGAAAAGTGAGCACTGTTTTTAAGAATGTAAATGTTTGAGATTAGCCTTTTCCACTTGAAGTATAAAGGTATAAAGGAAATGTTTTTAACGAGTATAAATCAATTGAGAGGGGGACAGTAATCTCTTAAATAATTCTACACATTTAAGTTCTCCCAAGTACAGTGTACAAGTACTTTAACCTTTCTATCATTATCATCCATAAATCTGTTCTTAAATATTCTGTGGTTGTTGCTCTGCTTGTCCTAAAAAAGAAGAATTGATTCAGATGTACATTGTAGCTACCAATTTAAAAATTATTGAAATCATTCCCATATGTGACTCAAGCAGTGTACATCAGTACATGTATTATAATAATGAGTCAATGTATCTGCACTATAGTTTGACATTTTTAAACACCTACAGAAGTGTATATGTGTATATTTAAAAGTACTAACCCTCAATACCTATTACAGTAAACTTATATATCAAACACCTCTTTCATGTGAACTTCTGTCTATGTCAATGCTATTTTTGGCACAATTTTTTATGTCACCACTAAGAAGTGGTGACATATTGTTATGGCCTCTGTTTTTTTGGCGGCGGGCGGCGGTTGCCCTCTGTAACTGTAACAAATTCTTACAACTTCCAATAACTTAACAAATACTGTTTAGACTGGCTTCAATTATTTTCTAAATCATTTACAAGTTTTCAAATCTGACTTTACATTTAAGATTTGACCTTCAATGACCTTTTCAAGGTCAAAAAAGGTTTAAAAAGGTCAAAAGGGTATTTTTTCAACTTGCTTGAAATTGACAATTTTTTTTCAAAATCACCTACAAGTTATCAGAAGTTCAAATGTGACTTAAGATTGAACTCATAATATTGTGAGCAACTAGGTGGTGACATTTTGTCATGTTAATGCCTTGTTCAATCTGCCAAAGACTTTTGAACACTGCTTATCTGAACACTCTTGGCAAATCACAGTGGAGTTCCGATTAGACATGTTTTACTGTATTTGTATGTCTCGATGTAATATGACTGGGAATAATTAGCTAACTGTTGATTGTAGATGTGGCAATGTCAACTGGGCTAGAAGAAACACATGTAATGTCTGCAACTCCCCCAAAGTTGGCAAAGTGGAAGAGAGATCAGGTGGGTCTTCATACTCAGTCAGTTAAACTTGCACTGAAGAAATCAGATTCTGTATAATGTTTTTATAACTACCAATCCCATGACTCATATGGACATTTATGTATTTTTATATTCTGAGTCTGCGGATGGAGATGAATAGTGCAGGCTGTTGACCTCTGTTGAGGTTGATTGTCAAAATGATATGCTGACATTGTAGAAGCTGCAGTAGATTGACAGTAGCTATGTATTGTATTACAGGTCTGGGAGGGGGCTACATGGAACGTGAGGTTGTTGTAGAATACAAGGATCGAGTTGAAGTTGAAGATGATGATTATGATGAGGTAAGCATATGAATCAAAATACTTGCTAAAGCTGATACAGGCTTTTATTATACATGTATAATCACACTTTTTCAAAGTGTCGTCATCTTGTCCTGATGGACGTGTGTGCATCTGGGTGGCAGGCACCACATATCTTGTCATCAAAATTCCAGGAAAACTGTTTTCTGTTCAAGTTGAATTTTAACAGATGTAAGAGCAGACTTGTGTATCTGATTCCCTTTATGTTGATTTGTTCATTTCAGTTTGGACGCTTAAAGAAAAAGAAGCGTACATCTGTTGATACTGCCCCTGTTGCTCCTCCCCCAGTGGAAGATGAGGAGGATGAAGCCGAAGAGGAGGAAGATGATGACGATGATGAGGATGTGTCCAAATATATGTTGGATTCAGATGATGATGTAAGTTTGAGATTATCAGAGTATGTTATGATTGGAAACATTTGCACATTCTCTAGTTCAGATTACCTATCAATGATTAAGAAGTAAATAGATAAACTTTGTTTAAAATTGGGTGAAGAATGTTGGAACAAACTTTTAGTATTTGTTCTTGCACCTTAATAGTTGTCTAGATAGTGTGTATGAAAATACTGTACAATTAAATTGAATTTTAATTGAAACAATTAAAATGTATTAAAATAATAAACAAATTATAAACTTTTTTTAGGATGATGACAAAGATACATCCAAATATGACCTTGCCAGTGACGATGACAAACCCAACAACCTATCAAAATCAAGGTCACCTAAATCTAGGTCAAGGTCATCATCATCATCCTCCTCCAGTTCATCACGGTCTTCGAGTTCTAGATCTAGGTCACGATCAAGATCACCATATTACAGAGATGACAAGAAGAAATATAGGTCAAGGTATATCAGGAAGGTTAAAGGTCAAAAGGTCGCTATCATCCAAAACCTCATATTGGGTGGGGTTAAATTTGGTGTATTGTAAATGTGGTACCAGGATGTATATTTGTGGTGGATGTTATATTACAATGCAAGCAAGAATCCATAATCAGCTAGAATGAAATACTGATAGTATATTTTCAGTAAAGCAAATATTTAACAGTGATATCCCCAGTATTGGAGCAACTGTTCAAAATTTGTTTGCACCTACATGATTTGCCAAAAAATACAAAAATAGGTCAAGTAAGGATTTAGCACTCTGCATTGAGAATAAAACCGTGGAGAGATAACCGTTAATTGATTGCAGAAGTTCATATTGTACTGCATTGAGCTTACATGCAAGTTCATATTGTACTGCATTGAGCTTACATGCAAGTTCATATTGTACTGCATTGAGATTACATGCAATTTCATATTGTACTGCATTGAGCTTACATGCAAGTTCATATTGTACTGCATTGAGATTACATGCAAGTTCATATTGTACTGCATTGAGCTTACATGTAAGTTCATATTGTACTGCACTGAGCTTACATGCTTGTGTATGTGAAGTTCATATTGTACTGCATTGAGATTACATGCAAGTTCATATTGTACTGCATTGAGCTTACATGCAAGTTCATATTGTACTGCATTGAGATTACATGCAATTTCATATTGTACTGCATTGAGATTACATGCAAGTTCATATTGTACTGCATTGAGATTACATGCATGTTCATATTGTACTGCATTGAGCTTACGTGTAAGTTCATATTGTACTGCATTGAGCTTACATGCAAGTTCATATTGTACTGCATTGAGCTTACATGTAAGTTCATATTGTACTGCATTGAGCTTACATGCAAGTTCATATTGTACTGCATTGAGCTAACAAGCAAGTTCATATTGTACTGCATTGAGCTTTCGTGCAAGTACACATTGTACTGCATTTCAAGCTTACATGTAAGTTCATATTGTACTGCGTTGAGCTTACATGCAAGTTCATATTGTACTGCATCAAGCTGACATGCAAGTTCATATTGTACTGCTTTGAGCTTACATGCAAATTAATATTGTACTGCATTGATGTAACATGCAAGTTGATATTGTACTGCATTGAGTTACATGCAAGTTCATATTGCACTGCATTGAGCTTGCATGCAAGTTTGTATTTTACTGCATTGCGCTTACATGCAAATTAATATTGTACTGCATTGAGTTAGACATGTTAGATGCAAGTTCATATTGTACTGCATTGAGCTTACATGCAAGTTCATATTGTACTGCATTGAGATTACATGTAAGTTCATATTGTACTGCATTGAGTTACATTGAAGTTCATATTGTACTCTATTGAGCTTACATGCAAGTTTGTATTCTACTGCACTGAGCTTACATGCTTGTGTATGTGAAGTTCATATTGAACTGTATTGAGATTACATGCAATTTCATATTGTACTGCATTGAGATTACATGCAAGTTCATATTGTACTGCATTGAGATTACATGCAAGTTCATATTGTACTGCATTGATGTAACATGCAAGTTCATATTGTACTGTGTTGAGCTTACATGCAAGTTCATATTGTACTGCATTGAGCTTACATGCAAGTTCATATTGTACTGCATTGAGATTACATGCAATTTCATATTGTACTGCATTGAGATTACATGCAAGTTCATATTGTACTGCATTGAGATTACATGCATGTTCATATTGTACTGCATTGAGCTTACATGCAAATTAATAATGTACTGCATTGAGTTAGATGCAAGTTCATATTGTACTGCATTGAGTTACATGGAAGTTCATATTGTACTGCACTGAGCTTACATGCTTCTGTATGTGAAGTTCATATTGTACTGCATTGAGATTACATGCAAGTTCATATTGTACTGCATTGAGCTTACATGCAAGTTGATATTGTACTGTGTTGAGATTACATGCATGTTCATATTGTACTGCATTGAGATTACATGCAAGTTCATATTGTACTGCATTGAGATTACATGCATGTTCATATTGTACTGCATTGAGCTTACGTGTAAGTTCATATTGTACTGCATTGAGCTTACATGCAAGTTCGTATTGTACTGCATTGAGATTACATGCAAGTTCATATTGTACTGCATTGAGAATACATGCAATTTCATATTGTACTGCATTGAGCTTACATGCAAGTTCATATTGTACTGCATTGAGCTTACATGTAAGTTCATATTGTACTGCATTGAGCTTACATGTAAGTTCATATTGTACTGCATTGAGCTTACATGCAAGTTCATATTGTACTGCATTGAGCTTACATGCAAGCTCCTATTGTACTGCATTGAGATTACATGTAAGTTCATATTGTACTGCATTGAGCTTACATGTAAGTTCATATTGTACTGCATTGAGATTACATGCAATTTCATATTGTACTGCATTGAGCTTACATGCAAGTTCATATTGTACTGCATTGAGATTACATGCAAGCTCATATTGTACTGCATTGAGCTTACATGCAAGTTCATATTGTACTGCATTGAGATTACATGCAAATTCATATTGTACTGCATTGAGCATACTTGTACATATGATCATTGTGGCATCACATCCTACAGTTGAATTTTGCCACTTGATGAGCTTATTATGACCAAGCCATGTGAGTTGGTGGGATATATTTGTATATTCTAATGTGTGCAGATTTTTATACATTTATGTTCTCTGTTGCAGGAGTAGATCTAGAAGTCGCTCTCGGTCAAGATCACCACATAGATACAAGAGTGGTAGTTCAAGACGGAGATCAAGGTCAAATGAAAGGACAAGACGGAGGTCAAGATCAAATGATAGATCAAGACAAAGGTCGAGGTCAAATGATAGGTCAAGGCGGAGGTCAAGGTTTGGAGTAGTAAACTCTGCTATGGAATATTAATCTTGAATATGTACTAGTGTACAATCCAATGTTCATCCATGCAGAGTTTTTTTCAAATGTTTCATGTATGACTGTTGCCATATCTTTAGGCACACATAGGGGGCTATAGTGATGATATTTGAACACTTAAAAACCATTTCAACTATAACTCCATTCCTATTGATCTTAATAATTGTTCAAAACTGATTGACTTTTCCATAAATATGATATCCTTTTTCTCTTTCTTCCATTAAATGTATGAGATTGAAAGAATTGAATCATTGAAATGAAATGAAAATAATTGTATGTACAGTGCAGTGTTGTTGTATTTTATTGTATGTAGCACTAATGGGACATTTTTATTGCTTGTACTTAAACATTTCACATTGTGTTACAATTAGGTTATTTGAGAAGTTTTCTTCCCTGATCATTTCAGGTCGCGGTCTGGGAGTCGTCATGGAAGGTACTGATTCAAAGGCATCGGATTTTCATCTACAAAACCATAATGGATGAATAATAATAGACTCCACAAACAGACCTGACATTATGAACAGCACAGTTCACAGATTACATGAGTTTGTACATTGGAAAATAAATCTTACCAAAGATTATAAAAGTTGTATTTAAGAAATCTGACTAAATCTCTCCCTTTGATCCGAAAGCCAACCATAGAATGACTCAACCTTCCCAACAGAAATGATTGATATTTTTTTATTTATAAATTGTGTTTGTGTTCCAGCTGGTTATTTCCTTCTATAAACTTTGTTGAGATTTACTTTCCAGTGTTTCCACTCTGCAAGGTCTTATTGAGAAGTTCAACTTTAAAAGCCTTGCAAGGATGAACAATTAATAAATTATTCAGTGTGTTTTCACCTTTCATTAAAGTCATTGTTTGTGCCTTCAATGGTAATAGTATTACCTGGAAGGTATTTGTTTGACATTGAAGGTCATTTTGTTACCTTCAGGGTCAATATATTACCTTCAAGTGAAAATATCACATTTTATAAAATTATTAGTATTTCCCTTAAAGGTTATAGTATTTCAATTAAAGGTTGTAGTATTACCATAAAAGGTTATATTATTACCATTTAAGGTTGTAGAATCGCCTTCATTATGTGGCTTCATATAATCATCTGTAAAAATGTCACTCATTAGCTGCTTCACTTTCCAAATCTGTTAGGCTTTTGTAAAGGTCTATAATTAGATCTTTTGGGTCCATCTTTTTTAAGGACAGTTATTATTATTCCGCACTGTAAAGTCATGAGAAATCACAATTTCACAGTTATTAAATTTTGCAGATTTCACAAGTTTAAATCCTCATGCTCTGTCAACTAAGTTACCTGACGAAAGATTTATAATTACAATGTACTAGATCTTTATCAGCAGCATGCTGGACCACAACCTTTTACATTGTCAATTTTTTTGATTTATTTGATCTAAAAAGTCTCAGTCTAAAAAAGTCTAAAAACTCAAAAATTCTGCTCTGAACGTATGCACCCTAGGTAACTATGGTAACAAGGTAAGGTAAGTATACAACAAAATGAGTACAGGTAGGTATTTCAGAACTGGTAAAATGTGATGCTATAAAAACCTGTTGCTTTTATTGAGTACAAAAAGAGTTAATGTTAGTTGCCTTGGATATATATACATTGTCATACACTCATTTTGTCCATTTTACAAGCATGATTTAGCTTGTTAATTATTTAAAATTTTATTCTAAAGAAGTTGATGTATATATGCTATACATTATACATACATGTTGAATTTAAATAATTATTATGGTTATAACCTCTTCTGCGTGTTACCATTCTTTAGAGTGGTTTAAAAACACCTGATACACAAAAATGAGACTGGAAATATCACAATTGTTGGATGAAGAAATTGAGGATGTTCAGATTAATAATTGTATAAAGCAATGTAATTATTTTGTTTTGACTATGAAATAAATATCTTTTTTCAGATATCAATAATATATTTTGTGCATTTGGTACATACAATATAGAAGTCACATATAAGCCTACTAAAATTGTGGACCCCCTGAGTTTCCCTAAAAAAACTATGTTGTGCTTGAGATAGAAACTAATTCATATGCTAGTTGATCCTATTATTAACTCTTCCATGGCCACCTTTGTCTCATGTAACTTCAATTACCGAATCCTACGCATCAATGAGATTGCTAATTCACAATATCAAATTCCTTACACCTCTCAGAATATTTTAGGATTGAAGCCCTGGACACAGAGCAATGTGGAATGACCATTCCTTGAAAGTGTTGCTTTCCAAAACTTGCATGAGATGCGGTGCATTGAGTGTTATTTTGAAACCACTCCTGAAAGGAATGGTCACACAATGCATTGAGTCACCAATTTTTTTCACACATCCATTGCAAAATATTTTCTTAAAAATTATCTAAAAAATTTGAAATCATTAAATGAACATATTTTCAATGAAACTTTTTGCAAAGTTCAAGCTGGCAAAGTATCAATTTCAATCTGTCCAATCATCACCATGACAAACTGTTTAACTAGTGAACTTCACCTCAAGTTCGTTATTGGTTATATGACGGAATGCAGTTATGTGATATAGCATGTTCTGATTGGCTAAAAATTGGAACAACTTTTCCTAACTCTGTGAATTCTTATTAACAACAGAAACTTACCATCTCTTGAAAGTGTGTTTGCAAAATTTTGTTTCTGTCAGCAATGTCTTTTGACAAATGATGACGCACCATCTTTGATCCTAGTCAAACTGGTAGGCCTACAAAAAGTCACTAATGTGATGTCATATAGATTTGTACCTCAGTTTTTATTTGGGTGAGATGAATGTTCCTCAAGGAGCTACATGTATTTCAACATTGTTATGGTTTTTAGAGCTCTCTTGTCAAAAATATATTCATAAATTCTTGGAATAGGATGTTCAGAATTCTCAGGTTAATTCTTATATTTTATTGGGGTTTTATAAAATTTGACAGCAATTAAAAATTGTTTTGGTTCTGTTCTCATTTTTCTTGTTTCTATCTAGAATTTTGCAACATTGTTTTCCTGATTTTATTTCAACTTTTTCTTTTTCCCTAGAGTTTGACTTTTAGAGGAAACCAAATATGGCCGCTCCCGTTTCACAAGAGTTCATGAAATTTTCCAACGCAAAACTTTAAAAATAATGTATTTATAACGCAATAACATCTATGAATGCCGTGTTTTAAGAATAACTATGTCACATGGATTGAAAGAAAGATCACGATTAGGTGATAAAAAGACTGCAAGATCACTTTTTAGCCACGTAAAGTGGGAGCATCTTTTTGCAGGTGTGAGTGGTGGTGTAATTTCAACATTGACTTTACATCCTTTAGATTTGGTCAAAGTAAGGTTTCAAGGTTAGTATTGTATTGTATATCGTTTGCAAAATTGCTTCCTTCGTCTCACAATCTATAACTTATATCTTTGAATTATTGATCATTATATTTTGTATACGGGAGATGTGCAATACTATCAACCCCCAAAGATTTGCCTGCGGGACAGATTTTTAAGACTCAGTTCCCAAAATTCGCGGTATTTCGCCGGACATCCACCTTAATTCGCGGGACATTTGAGGGATTTGCGTGATTGTGCTTATTAAAGATAAAACAGAAATTGTAGTGACCAGTTCATACGTATGGTTAAAATAACGAAATAATGAAATGTAACCATGTGTCTACTGATCAGTTTGTTCTATTTGTCATCCATCCTGCTAGGTTATATTGTGGAACGCAGCCAAACACGACAATGAAGGCAACAACATATTGATCTTAGCAGAACTTTTGGAAAGGACGATTCTCGGTTTGGAGAACAGCCTCCTGATCTAATAATTTTTTTTTCATGAAAAATATAGAAATATTACCCAAATTAAACTATGAATATTCAAAAGAGGACATTTAAATCTACAAGATGTAAAAATAATAAATTGGTCTGAAGCAGGGATAACGCTCAATTTGACCGATTCAATAAAATACAAATCTGGATTTGGGGAAAGAAGTTCATCAGTGTACTGCGCTAATATCTTTTTGCGAAAATCTAAAAATATTACCCAAATTAAATTATGACTATTCAAAAGAAGACATTCAAATCTATATTATGTAAAAAAATCAAATTTGTCCGAAGCAGGGATAATGCTCATTTAGATTGATGAACTTCGTTCTCCAAACCGAGAATCGTCCTTTAGATTGTACATTTTGCAAGCTCACGTGACTGATTATGTGACACGTGTCTGATCATGTGACACGTTTCTGATCACTTGACTAGTTACTGTATCGATCAAGTGACTTAATGACGTGTCACCCAAACCATGTCTTCAAGGAAAACGGTAGTAGATATTTTTGAAAATGTTTTACAAGCATTTGCTACTGATTATAGAAGGCCCAATTATGCAATGAACGAAACTGCTAAATTGTTTTTTGTAACAGGCCCAGTACGCAACAAACGAAACTGCTAAATTTGAATTTTTAGTCAGCTTATTGATCTATTGATTCATAAAGACCTGAAATGATGCATTCAAATAAGACCGCCTCCTAAATGAAAATACTACACATAAAGTGGTGAAAAATAACGAACTAAAGTTGAAAGATCGCAACATTCGCTACTTTGTTCAAGTCCGGAAAACTCTAAGGGGCTGTTAGATTTAGATTTTATAACTTCAGAATACTTTTTGACAAGTATTTTCTCGGCAACTGATGAACCAAATTTACTGAAAATTCGTGCAAAGTAGCTTAAGAGTATTGTTAGCAAGGTACAAAAATATGAAAAAGATCAGGTAAATGTTATTTGAGTACAAAGAAATTCAAGATAGCATCTCAATGTTCATGGAGCAATGCAATGAGAACTTAATAAATACCCAAAAATAGGAAGCAATTTGACAAGTAATTTCTCAGCAATAGGTAAGCCAAATTCTTTGAAAATTTTACATTAGGCACTTGAGGGCATCTTCTACAATGAATTTTGAGAAAGAATGGATTTTTGGATATTCGGGAAGAATGAAACAAATTAATTAGACATGACACATAGACAAGCTATTTTGACTGATTGACAAATGTTATCAACTGATAGCTGGAACAAACACTATGGATCCATGTATTGAGGTCCCATGGCAGAGCTCCGGTATAGGAATTTTTTATACGCCAGGGGTTACATAAGCAGCAGGCAACAGGCAATTTTCACTGGTTGTTTTCACAAACGATTGTTTTCATAAAATCGCCTGTTGTTTAGAGAAACTTTTCAACTTTTCTTCTTGTTTTCATTTACTTAGCCTGTTGTGAGATATTCTAGTGAAACCTCTGTATGCTATTTTGAACTTCTTAGTACTCACAGAATATTTACTTGATCTTTTTTTTATTTTTACAACTTACGAATGATACTCTTAGGCCAATGTGTACAAATTTTCAGTGAATTCGGTTTGTCAGTTGCCGAGAAAATACTTGTCAAAATGCGTCTCATTTTTTCGGACACCCGATATTTGAAAGAGTAAAAATCTCAATATTTGCTCACAACTATGAATCTGTCAATATTTGCTCACAACTATGAATCTGAAAATGATGCTTTATTTCATTCAAAGATTCAATTCAAAGAAACAATACATCTGAGTATACCATTTTTATTATATTTTTATTCCTACAGCAGATGTTACTTTTACAAATATGAAACAGTGTTTATATTCAGACAGGATGTCTTTCTCATAAAAATCTTTAACATGAACCAACACTGCAATGCATATAAGGGGGAGTGGTACCATATAAAGATAACATTAACACAGATAAAGGTCTGTGGTATAACTCACAAAGCAAATGTGTTAAATTGAATATACAGTAAACCTATATCTAGGAACACCTGTCTAACCAAAACATCTCTCAATGTGAACATCTTTTATGCGTCCAAATTTTGTTATTTCCATCCCATTCAATCATATATAAAACTTTCTAAATATGAACACGTACTAACCAAACACTTTTGACCAATCCCAGTAGCACTTGGACAATACATAGTTTACACAGAGAGCAGGTACAACTAGTCTTATAGTAAAGATAATATCTGTATTAGCTGCTATTGCTTGTGACATAATACCATCTCTTACATACTCGGGCAAGGGAATAACCCAGAATACAATGTATATATATGAACCTATCTTTATGTAAAGGTAAACCTGGGTTATTTCTAGGAATTCTGGGTTATTTCCTTCTTTTCTTAAACTCCTAAGATATGATGCAACATACTGGCTTACAGTTTGAAATAATTTCTATTACACATGTTAGTAAATATGTACACTTTATACTATCTAAAATTCATTTTTGTCTTTGTCAGTTGTGTATCATCATATTTATTTGAATCATAAAGTGTTAAGATTGGTATTTACATGGAGTTAAACTTGGATCTGAATAGCCAATCAGAAAATAAAACTTGAGAACTGTTCAATGAGAGGTGTCCGGAGTGTGTCCAGAGGTGAGAAGTGTTTTACTGTAATGTATAACAGGGTCTGTCCCTACATCGGCAATTTCTTGATTCTTTCAGTAAATGAAGGCCTACTGGCACAAGGTATCAACACTCACAGGCCACAATACAAAGGTATTGTTGATGCACTTAGGACCATTCGTAAGACAGAAGGGATCAAAGGACTCTACCAGGGTGTGGTCCCCAACTGCTGGGGTGCTGGAACAGCATGGGGCTTCTATTTCCTCTTGTAAGTACATGGATGGTATATACACCTGGCTGGGACATATACATGAACTGTGTCATTGTGTGAATATGGGATTATTTTGTTATTTTCAAATGTATGTACACCTGAAAGAATTATTATGCCAGATTTTGATAATTTATAACTTATAAATTTAGATTTATAGGGAGTATAACTTTTGGTATTTTGCTATATGCTGTCACATTAAATTTATGACATTAGTGTCAGCTAAAGCATGATTGCAACCATGTGGTGATATTTTATGTTATGTTATTGACTTGTTTGTGCTGTCTATTTGGAGAACCTTTAATGGAGCGATGTAGAATATGAGTGAGGGAAGACGTTTACTTTAAAACATTAACTTACTGTTCCAGCTACAATGCACTGAAGGTCTACATGCAGGAAGACCAGAAAGCTCCACTTGGCCCTGGCAAACACATGCTGGCAGCCACTGAAGCAGGTAAGGACCCCCAGCCCCACCCCCGTCCCACTCTTGTAATTGAAGAGTGGTTTGCCTTGAATGCATCACCTGTGGGATGTTCTCATATTTTTGAACTTTGTTGGAACTTTTTTGGTTCTTCCAGAATGGTCCATTATTATTAAAACAAAGGTTGTTATAATATTTTTTTCGGGGAGTTTTTTTTATGTTCAGCCACTTTCAGTTAATTGCTTTTAAGTTTAGTATAAACTTGCAAAAATGTATTTTTATTCTTTGTGCTTGCAGGTCTGCTGACGCTAGTCATAACTAATCCAATCTGGGTTGTAAAAACACGCCTCTGTTTGCAGTACGACAGATTCTCAATAGATGGTACTAAGTGCCAAAAGTCGCAACAATATTCAGGGATGGTTGATACAATGACCAAAATATACAAATTTGAAGGCATTAAAGGATTATATAAGGTATTCTTCTTTTTTTCTTTTTATGTAACAGCCACCAAGAAGTAGTGACAATTTGTCATAGCTGTTTTGGGACTGGCATCAGTAACAAGTTGTTAACACTTTTTGCAATAATTTACCAGGTGGTAATATTTTGCCATGTTACCTTGTTTAACTTTTGAACATGAACTTCTGTAATATTCTTATTGCTACATGTGATGGTCTTATTGCTTGCAGGGTATGTTGCCAGGAGTATTTGGGGTGTCTCATGGTGCTCTACAGTTCATGGCTTATGAGCAACTAAAGCAAAAATACAATTCATACCGAGAACGACCTCAAGACTGTCGATTCGTAAGTATAATTGAAGAATTAGTTAAACATAAACTATCTAAAGTTGTTGGTAAAACATCAAATACCAGATGACAGATTTGGTTCAAACTGAATATGGTCTTGCTTATGGACTTTGGACCTCTGTTTATGAAGAAATTTTTACTTCTTATTCAAAATAGCCTCCATATTTCATGTGCGAGTAGCAATAATAAAATATTTCAATAGTTTACAATCATTATGAACAACATTTTGATATTTATTTTTATTTTTAGAATTCGATGGAATATATTATGTTTGCCGCCCTATCTAAAGTATTTGCGGCTAGTGCAACTTACCCCTATCAGGTGATTAGGTCACGACTACAGGACCAACATAGACAATACAATGGCATTGCAGATGTTATAAGGCAAACATGGAGGTATGTACATAGAATATATGAATGGTCTCCCCAGCATTAGAGCAGCTCAGTTCTGCACCCTGTTGGACATTTTGAATAATTGCCATTCTGTTGCATTCTGTCAAAGAGACGTGTTTCTTGACCAATAAGATCCTGTGAAGAAAAATTATATCTCCCTAAGACTACGTCATACAAGATTTTACCATGGCATATACCCCAAGCTAAAAATACAGTATAACAATATTCATGTTTATTCCATACTGGGGACAGATGGATGCTCAACAGCTTAATTTTAATTTCTTCGACAGGGTGTATCTGGTTAATGTTGGAGAGATCAATTAGGAGTAGATAACTCATGGACCATTTCCAAACACATATGCCATTCAAACGATCAGAAGTTATGTTTGGGAATGTTGCAATAAGTGTTTTATTTAAATATATAATTAATAGTTCTGTTTTATCACAAATTAAGAAAATTCATGTATACTGGCGTTAATCAAATGCCTTAAATAGCCTATACGGGAATAACAATAGTCTACCAATCAGTGAGGCTGGTAGGTTTTCAAATTGTACAAAAACTCTATCTTTGACTTCAGAAATGAACGGACTAGAGGATTTTACAAAGGACTGGTTCCATATCTTCTCCATGTAACTCCCAATATCTGTATAGTGTTTTTACTATATGAACAAGTGACTCAATTAACAATTTGGAAACATTTATTCAACAGACATGATGATGCTGATGAGGATGAATTGATAAGATGATGATGGTCAGATGATGAAAATTAGGCAATCTGTACATTCTTAAGATAGATTTCTATTTGATTCCACAGCATTGGAGTATAATGTGCTTCATTGAGCATATCATTGTTATCTCCATGGAGCATGTCATTGTTATCTCCATGGAGCATGTCATTGTCATTTCCATGGAGCATGTCATTGTCATTTCCATGGAGCATGTCATTGTTATCTCCATGGAGCATGTCATTGTCATTTCCATGGAGCATGTCATTGTCATTTCCATGGAGCATGTCATTGTTATCTCAATGGAGCATATCATAGTTATCTCCATGGAGCATGTCATTGTCATTTCCATGGAGCATGTCATTGTTATCTCCATGGAGCATGTCATTGTTATCTCCATGGAGCATGTCATTGTCATCTCAATGGAGCATGTCACTGTCATCTCCATTGAGCATGTCATTGTTATCTCCATGGCGCATGTCATTGTCATCTCCATGGAGCATGTCATTGTCATCTCAGTGGAGCATGTCATTGTTATCTCAATGGAGCATGTCATTGTCATCTCCATGGAGCATGTTATTGTCATCTCCATTGAGCATGTCATTGTTATCTCCATGGAGCATGTCATTGTCATCTCCATGGAGAATGTTATTGTCATCTCAATGGAGCATGTCATTGTCATCTCAATGGAGCATGTCACTGTCATCTCCATTGAGCATGTCATTGTTATCTCCATGGAGCATGTCATTGTCATCTCCATGGAGCATGTCATTGTCATCTCAGTGGAGCATGTCATTGTCATCTCCATGGAGCATATCATTGTCATCTCAATGGAGCATATCATTTTCACCTCCATGGAGCATATCATTGTCATCTCAATGGAGCATATCATTTTCACCTCCATGGAGCATGTCATTGTCATATCCATGGAGCATGTCATTGTCATTTCCATGGAGCATGTCATTGTTATCTCCAAGGGTGGTTACAAAGCAATAATAAATGTGTAAAATCTTTGATTTATTGAAGGCTTCTTATGAAAGGGTAACAAATTAAAACCTCATTCACACAAAACATGATATATGTCACATTCTGGCCAATCAGAACACAGTATAGCCATTCTATATTTTACAATAGATGAATGGTTGATTTAGAAATATGGAAAACATTGACCTTGTCAAACAAGCTTTAAGTAGAATCATAATGAAAAGCCAAGTAAGTGGCCAGGTCGATATAAATGATGATCCGGCAAAAAAAAGTGATACTACCAATCATGAAAGATAAGATGTGAAACCCTGCCCATTCTAATCATGGCATGAAGTTTATTTTTCAATTGAGAAACAAGTCCTCGAAAATTACTAAAATTGAGCTTAGCTTAGAAAATTGAGGTAGCCTTGAGAAATTACTAAAACTGAGGTAACTTCAAGGAAGAAATGTCTAAATTGATTTAGTTCTTTCACTTGATTGACCATATTTTTGGGTTTGGTGTTCTTGTCAACCTTTGAATTGCAATACATCATAATCATTACCATGGTGATCAGATAATCATTAAATAAACCATTCATTAGTGAGTTATGAATTGTCACACCAGAAAGTATAAATACAATCTTATCGGAGTCTACCCGTATGCAAACACCTTGCTTGATGAAAAAATGTGTTGCAAGCAAGTACAGTAAAACCTGTGTTTATGGGACACCCCCTGTAGTGGCCAAAAATTAAATTGTTCATTGTAGATATGTGTTCCTTACAGAGAGGGGTCAATAATATATAAGTCAATAGGACTTGGTGCTTTTGAAATCTGTTCCATGGAGAGAAGTGTTCCTTCTGAAGAGATGTTTCATCAGATGCGTTTTACTGTGCATGTTTGATTGTTTGTGTTTTGTCTTTACACTGTGCTGCTTCTTCCAGTTGGTCACAGTGGTTTAATCTTTGAACAAAAGCATTATTTTGAATGGAATATCTCACCATTAAAACAGTTATGTCAAGAAAATTTGCATGACTATCAAGTTATAAAATAATATGAATTATAAGGAAATATAAATAATATTGGTAAAATATTTATTAATAAATTATACAGTAAGAGAGCTATAACTTACAGCTGCTTTTACTCAAATAAATTCAGACAATTCCTCCAATTGGCTTATGGGGAAAATCACTTTATTGGCATGTAGCTACTACTGACTGTGTAATACATGTGTCTGTCACGAACCAACATTATGTGTTAATATAGATGGAGCCATTTGTTTGTAGAAATTGTGAGCAAAATGTGAACAAAATTTTGATATTATTTTAATCAAAGTTTAACACGGTTTCCTTGTGTCTGACTTAAGGTATAATTAATATTAATTAATTAATCAAATTCAGTGCAATTAGTTGCTCAGTAGTTTACTGTGTGGTACCATATCTTGAAATACTATATCATTTTGTGCAGTAAGTACATTCATAACTATGACACAGCACGATATGGTACTGTATGGCTGGCTCACCAGGTACAGGGAGATCAGGGGTAAATTTTACTTATTGAAATAATGCTTCCATAGTTTAAGACGCCTTTTCAGCTGTACAATCCCTGTAAATAGACTTGTAAAATATAATAGTGAAAACTACTGTATTATTTTTGTAACACATGTGCCCTTAACCCAGATAAACATGCTCAGTATTCAACTTTCGGAGTTCAGTGTTGAAAGAGTTGATATTTGCAGTTAGTGGTATAACAACCTTTCTTCATTCCCTTAATATGGAATTCAGATTCACTTTGAGATTAGTTTATATTAGCATGTTTGTTCGTGTGATATGATCACATACAGAACATCAACATTTCTACACGCAGACAAATCTTATACTTTTGCGTAAAATGTTGGCGGACATTAGGGCGTGTTTTTTTGCCAAGCCAAGTGATGACGACATTACAATGTACACTAAAACCTGTCTTATCCAAATGCCTAAATGACCTAAAAAGTCTACAGATGTGTTTGGATAATGCACGTTTTACTTTATATGTATCATTATTTGTTGTATTTTATATTCATGATGTTTACCTAATATCAATTTACAATACAAAGTGTTCTATAAGTTTGATTCGGGGCATATGCATTTCTATAACATTTTATATGTGTAGTATTCATGAACCTCTGAAATCTGAAGTCAATTGTGAAACATGAAATTGCAAATTGAAATTAGGATGCTACTTCCTCTTATGAGTTTTGAGTTCACCAATCAGACCAAAAATGCAAGTTGCGGTTTTATATTCATGAAGAGATAAAATTTGATTTTTAAATCTGCTGTTTATCAACTTTTCATTTTGCTTCTGAAATACTTTTGGTAGCATTATTCTTCTCATATCTTCTTTCAAAAATGAACATAACAAAAATATGTGCAATTTTCATTTTTGGTCACTTTTGTTCAATTTCTGTTCAAAAGAGATTTACTCTTCTCTTTATTGATTTCAGATTTGAGGGATTCAAAGGGTTTTACAAAGGTCTTGGGACAAGCATATTGCGGGTGACACCCGGGTGTTGCATTACATTTGTGGTGTATGAAAGCATTATAGACTACTTACTTCACCAGAAAGCATAGCAGGCAACATCATACACAGTGTATAATGGGACTCAGTGTACAATAACACACAGTATACAATGACCCACAGTGTACAATAACACACAGTGTACAATGACCCACAGTGTACAATGACCCAGTGTACAATGACCTACACAAGAAATCGAATCATATACATACGCACAACTTGTATATACAGTAGAACATTTTAACATTGTAGCATTGATATTATTAGCCGATGAATCAATTTGTTAGATGGATAATTTAAACAAATCATTTTGTAGGTAAATACTAATACTGTAATATTAATCTATTTGTTGATGAGTAGAAAAATTGTCAAAAAATAAGTTTGTTATAATGATTAAGATGTTCCTGTTTTGATGGAATTTATAAAGGCCTGTTGCCTCAGATGGCATGTAGCCTTATAATTGAAGGAAATGTCTGAACCTGAATTCTGTTAGCGCTATCAATGAATATAATTGTTGAACAGATATTCGTTATTTCAAGATGCCAAACACAAGTGCTAAATTGATTTTGCCAATTAAATATGTCATTTGCAATAAAATTGGAAACATATGTAAAATACTATTTCCGTGTAAAATGTACAATGAATGATAAAAGACTCACTAGAAATATCCCCTTGTGACAGAGGTACATGTTTTGGTGAGTCTACAATATTGTAGTTTTGTAGGACTTGAATTAATAAAGATTATATAATCTTACGATTTTAAAAGACATTATTATATTGTTATTGATTTCAACATGACTGAAAACTCTGCAACAGCATTATCATATGTCTTTGCTTTATTTGTCATTATAACATTGCAGTGCAAATACAAGTGAAATGAAAACATTTATAACTATGTAATATTTCAAAGTTATTCCATGCATATGATAATTGTTACTAACTTACTTCTAGTTGAATCCTAAGATAATATGTTAAGATCAGGTAAAAATGCATTTTTTCGAAAAACACTTCTGAAATAGTTGTTGGATAAATGCAATGATTTTTCATATATTATTTGCATCAACTTATTACAATCAATATCAGCAATCAGAATCAGACGATAATCTTGAATATTACACAGTTATGACAGTGAAACTTATGTAAGTTGAACACCTTTGATAGGAGGGATTCATTCATGTACACCAAGTAATAACATGACTTGAAAAAGTGTTCTACTTACAGAGGTGTTCCACTTACAGTGAAGTTCAATCTTACAGAGGTGTTTCACTTACAGTGAAGTTCAATCTTACAGAGGTGTTCCACTTACAGTGAAGTTCAATCTTACAGAGGTGTTTCACTTACAAAGGTGTTCCTTTTACAGAAGAGGTGTTCAATCTTACAAGTTTTACTGTATATGGAACAATGCAATGAATTTGTCATGTTTATTTGAATTAAGAGTGGAGATTGGAGATGATACTAAACTAATCTAAAGCATATCATCATATTTGACTGATCATTTAACACATTTGTAATCATTACATTTTATCTCCAATTTTCATTCATTCTTCAGTCCAGAATTGTTCCTGTAGTTAGTTAAAACATTTTATAATATGTAAAATAAAAACAATACTACTTAAGACAAGTGTTGAATGCTATTGTGTAGTGGATATATCTTGCAATAATTGGTGTATATTACATTAGTTTTGAACCATATACATATTTCAAAATTGATATTCAGATGTAAGAAAAGAATTTACAGAAGGATATTCTGGAAATGTTTTGAAGGAGGTTTCATTTACAGGGTGGGTTAAACATATATTGCTATATTTTGTTCAATCCAGTTGTTTTTGACAAAAACATTGTAGTTAGTCCATGCACTGAAGGTATTGTATTATCAGTGCTGCATGAGTTAGATGGTCCAGAGGTCCAAACTTAGGGAGGGGTGCTTTGTCGTACCAATGGCTAATAAACGGCCATACAGTTCATGATAGTTTGATAACCATCGAAAGAAATTGCTTTATATTGTTCCTTCTACTTTTCAGTATTATCTGGAAAGGTGATAATCAATTCAATTTCAAATTCATCCCCCTCCCACCAAAATGCATTTTTGTTAAACTAATTCTTTATTTGATCGATTTTGATTCTGAAAAAAGTCAATTGATAAAAAAGAATTCATGAATGAGATATCAAATTAAATGCTTACAAATCTGGCCACCCTCATGGTAATATCGTAAGAAATTTTAGTGCTATCAAATATGATGTAGTTTTATCCTGAGAAAACCTAGTTAATCACATCTTAGGGCAACCATTTATATCCCAACCTTGTCTCTAAAACAGACTAATTTCACATATCAATTAGACTCAGGTGTTCTTGATTCAATATCCCATTCCATGATACTAATATCTTGAATGTTTCTTAATTATAAACAGGCATGTTCTATTATTAGTATACACTGACATGTATCACATTCATCATTTTACATTCAATTAGGTTCAGTAGGGAATTCCAGAACTGCGTTAAAATATAGCAGCGGTTTGATTGATCTTCTCATATAAGTGTTTTCAGTAAAACTTATGAAAACACCTACAGTGCTGATACAAATTAATTGATAAGTCGTATAGTTGGCATATTTTCTTGAATTCTAACATTTAAAGTCCCAAACTTCCACAAACTGCAGAAAAGTATACACCGTAAATGATATTTACAAAATGAGTGTCTCCAAGGCTTCATACCAGCGTATGCATAATGCATTTGTCACGAGTTTGAGTTGAAATTTCGATAAAATGAAGCAAGGGTAATCTCCGCCAGGTTTGTTTATTGTGGTTAGCTTTTAATGGTAAGTGCTGAGAAGCAAATAATTCATATGCGCAAAATAATCAAATAATCTGATTGGTTTTAACTTCAATGAGCATCGGCACGATGTGTGGCGTTTTTTTTCTAATGATTTTGTTTCGTTTTATGGAGTTTGTGTTTCAGTGTAACTTCCGCAAAAATATCGGACCAGTGACAGAATTAACAGGTAAAATCACTTCGAAATTTAGGAGAACTTTTTACCTATAATAGCAAAACATTTGTTTTATTTGTGCATTCTATCTATCAGATAAGAGTCTCAGGAGTATATAGGCAATTCCATTTTGGTAGGAGCACTCAGGAAAACTCACGCTTTATTATATTATTTTGTATCAGCACTATCATAAAAGGATGTTTTCTATAATGCTCACAGTTAGGTATTCACTCCTGAGAGGGAATGTATATAGATTACAGAGTGCAATAGAGCTTGCGATGAAAAATGTGTTCTTTTAGGACTTCTGAAAAGTCATATATGTACTCACTTTTTAATGTTTTATACTTCACCATTTCATTTCATTTTAGTATTGTAATCATGACATTATACCATTGTTAATAGATTGTACCCAAATATAATTTAGAGGGCTACTGTTTTAACATTCTAAAGTAATTTCTTCTGGGGTTGAAAAGAGACACAGTTGTCTCATATTATTTTATAATTAGTTAATAGAATACACTCGGAACCTCACCAGATCAGAGCTGTCAAACGGCAATAAGATAATACATCAATGTATCAGCTGAAGAGATCGCCCATTACTGAAGGTGAGTATAAGATGAACATCCGTTCAGAAAACCAGTAGCACATTTTTTGCCTATATATTATGGAGTCACAGAACTAAGTATACTCAATAATTTTACCTTTTTGGTAGTGTGATCATTTGATTATTGATTGAAATATGCAAAATTAAAATTGATTTTTGTGAAAAAAACTTTTTTGCTATTAGTCAGAAATTTTTCCTTTGATTGACATCAAAAATGAAAACAGAATACTGAAGAAGAAAAGAAAATAGGAAATAATTCTATCTTTACAGTGTTTCACTTCTTGCAGGAACTGGAAACAGACCTGACCTTTCACCCACCCCTGTCACCCATGTCACCTGACTGTCGCCTTACCTTCCACCCCGGGAGCACCTGGTAAGGATGGCGCCCCTTTGTTGACACATATTTATATTGTAAAGCTCACTTCATATTTATTCAAATTCCTTAATATTGGTATCTATCCACATTGGTTAGCTCTTTTATATGTGGCAAAATATATCAATCTGAACTCCTATAAAATATATAAATCATTAAAGAACTACTATCATGATAAAACCAACGATAGTTGCAGTCATCGAATATGATCTTATTTTTATACATGTATGTGTATATTAGTATTATTCGGAAAATTTTTGTTGTCATTTGAGTTTGATGCATTCTTTATTTAGGAAAATACAAGTTGTCCTCACCTCAGAATGTAGCAAGAACAATAGACATCTACCTATGCATCTAGCCTCTACCATATTATAAAAGAAGGTAGGTGTATTCTTCTTTTAGTACCAATTATGTTCATTTTTATTTTTTCTTAAAAGATTGTGGAAGTTTAGTGAACTCTAGTCAAATAACATAATTTCTTCATATTTTAATAGAACTATATTTAACAAAGAAAAATTGTTGATAATGGTATTTGGAATTTTAACATGCAATTTTGTAATTGGTTCTGACATGTGAACATTGCTACTGTTCAGTTATTTCATTAATATCCAGGGAAATTATTGTGCCAATATAGATGTCATAAATATGATGCCTGCCTGTTGAGATTACATACAGTAAAACCTGTATATCTGAACACCTCTATTGTGAACATCTCACAATATGAACACTTTTTCTATGTCCCTGTTTTATAATCTACCACTCACTCACAAATTAAAAACCTTCAAATGTTACCACCTGCAAATCCAAATCCTTTTGGCCATTCTTGTAGCGTTCAGATTAAACAAGTTTTACTGTATATTGATATATAGCATTGTTGTATTATTAAGTCCGTTTACATAGAAACAGCAGGACAATAAGCTTATGAAGTGATGCAGATTATTTATTTCTTCATAAATATATATTCAAGGCATGTCTATTTATTTCCACTTAATGCTGTAGAGGCACAGCTATTTAAGCAACAAAATGTCAATAGGGGCATTGATAGGAGAATTGATTGGCTTTTAGACTGCATTGATTGGCTTTTAGAGAATTATCAATGTGTTCAGTAAGATAATGAGGGCCTACTAAGCAAATAAACAGAGCAATGACTTCTACTGACATCCAGTTTAGTCATTGAGAATAATTGGAATGCAGTTATTGTACTCTACATGCACATTGCAGTCAATCATCAATATAAGAAATCAGAAACAGAACAACAGTGGGATTTATAATCAGATCAGAATAGGTTGGGATTAAAAAGTTAGACTGGGTTTTAAAAAATAGACTTGGATTAAAAACTAGATTTGTATTATAAAAATAAAATTAGGATTTGTAAAACATTGGATTTTGATTTTTTAGGATTAATTTAAAATCAGATTGGAATTAGAAAAGCAGATAAAGATTAAAAACAGATTGGAATACGAAATTAGATTCTAGTTTGTCAGAGTTGGATGAGATCTAGTTAGCAGAAAATTCTAACAACGCTTGCCAAGCCACGACAATCTCCTTAGTCCTAAGTAATACGGCTCTACATTGATTGGTTGTTTAGAATCACTAGCATGTACACACTGGTTTGATACGTCACAGTTAACCACATTACACAATGATGATTCTTAGACTGTCGACCAGTGGAATTGAGAGAGAATGGATTGTGATTATATAAATCACGGATGATGTGACATTTGCTGTGTCATTGTAATATTGGATACTTCTATAGCTAGATATATTGGTGTCATTGTATTGTAGTGTCATGGGAGATGCTACACGGACTCCTCCAAATGGGAGCGTCATATCTGCGGATTATGAGTCTGAGGCGGGTCTAAGAAGACAACCTGCTGAGAATTCAGGTAAGGATAAATGATTTACCAAACTTTCTTCAAGATTTTTTGTCAAATTGGTTCAGCATTATTGTTTTCCCAATTTTGATATAGATATGCCCAAAAATGTATTAATTTGGCAAAGTATCCTTTTCATGAATTACTTTTATCTAGCAAATATATTTTGAACTGTATTTAAAATTATTTATTAAAGCATTAAAACGGTTTACGGCACCAGTGAGGCTGGAAGTCAGTCTTCCCTGAATATCTGTACAGTAAATGTAAACTAAAATGTAATCCTATTAATCGGGCTAGTATCATATCAAATAGAATTAATTTTCATTTTATAAGTTAATTTCATTATATCCAGTATATTGCAGGCCTGTCAACTGTCCCGCAATTTGCGTATTTGTCACGCATTTGCTGAAGAATTTGAAGTCACGCCAGTTATTTTTGCGTGACAGAAAATGTCACGCAATTACGCATTTTCCCTGGTAATTGTCAAGAAAAAATAGTTCTGTAGAAAAATTTCTAAAAAAGATCGTCTACACAGCAAAAATACGAACGCCGGAAATAAACGTACGCATTTCGTTCGGACTTGTCCACATTTTGAGGGGAGGTGTTCAACATTTCCAAGTCACTCATGTTAGGTGTTCCCAAGTTGACAGGCCTGATATTGTAAAAGGGTAAATAGTAACATCTGCTAAAAAATAATTTTATTTTGACTCGTTCCACTCTCTGCTCTAAAAGGAAATAATGACGTTGCAAAACCAAATTGGCTTTTTCTCCCACCCAAACATACAAAATGATGAAAATCAGTCTTATATTCTTATCCCTTGTGCAATCATTTATTTTGCTACAGCTCCACTATACTAGATATAGTAATGTACTAGACTAGATAATCAGACTTTTATTTTGCAATCATGTTATGATATTTCACACTGCGGCAAATATTGATAAACAAGATCTAGAGCTTGGAAATACAATCTAGTTTTGGGCATTTTTTTATTCTAACATTTGTGTATACAGGGTGTCCAATAAATATCGTGAAATATATTGTTACTTTCTTAATATTGCACCAATCTTGATGAAATTTTCAGAGTTTGTAGCCCAAACCTTAAGCTATAGCAACCACAACTCTGGCCAATCAAATGATAGACGCTTCGCTTTAAATTCACAGAATAAATGTAAAAAGGTTTGGGCTACAAACTGTGAAAATTTCATCAAGATTGGTGCAATATTAAGAAAGTTACAATATCTTTCACCTTATTTATTGGACACCCTGTAGTTGTGTATTGTGAGAAAATTATGTTTGGTATTGATATGAAACTCTTTGAGGTTTCTCTATGCTGTCGTAATATCAAATATATATTATTGAGCTGTACCTTTAAATACATGGTGGGCCAAATCATGCCAAAAATAAATGAGTTATCACACTTTACATCAGCAACATATTTTTGGCCCACCCTGTAGTTATTGTTTATTTAATATTTGTTCCGGTGACCTAATCTTTACATTGAATTCTAATGATAACATATTTATTGATCTCATAAAAAGCAAACATAATATAAAAATTGATACCAATCGCAAATATTGCTTAAGCCCATTTAATTCCTCACTACTAAAAGCTTTTTTAGTCTCTTCACCTTTGCGAAGCACTTCAGAAATATTATGGATCTCTTGAATGTCTCGTTTGAATTGGTAATAACCAGATTCGATCATGTATTTTGGATAATTAGAATTATGTTTGTATGGTTAGACTGATTGCAAAATCGTGTTACTGTGTATACAACGCTTCACTGATACATTTACGATTCTCTGTGCTTAATTACGGCTTTGTCTGCTTCTATGGTTGGTTAGAAATACATGTTCGGGAGGTAGAGATCAAAATGAACATGATATGTCGGGTAAATATGATAAGGTGATTGTTCATCAATTTATTTAATAGTAAAGAACAATTCTTCATTGTGAGACAATAGATATTGTATTCTTTGTTCATAGAATGTTTTCATGGCTAAGAAATTTAGAGGTATTCCTTCATTTTTATATCAGATATAAAAGAGGAAATGAAACACTTTCATAATTATCTAAAAATCATCTGAGGAAGCGAATTTATGTGCTTAGCTCTTTAGCTTATAAGCTGTCTGTCTTGAACTTCCTTTCCATTTTGTGATTTTATGAAATAGCTTATTATATGGCATTACATAATTGTTATCCGAGGTTTACTCCGACCCTGTAGCCTCTTTGTGATGCTTGCGGATCTATTGATATAGAAACTTCATCTTCGTATTAATACCATTTATACTTATTAGATTTGTATATCATACATAGGCAAATGATCAAACAGGATTTTACATAATTAATCGTTATTGGTAATTCTTGCTAAGTGCACATATCGGTTCCATTATTATTGGCATTGACCTGCATTTAATAGAACTTCTACTGGGAGACAATACAGGTAATGGATAGCAAGTTGCTACTACAGTGTATCTATAATGGCTAAACCTTTATACCTTAGTTGGTAGTAGTGCTCAGACCGATAATGAAAAGTGGTGCCGGTATTACTGTAGGTCATTACCGATGTTTACCGACTATATAGCAAGTATTTTGAAAAAGCTAAAAAAAAGTTTTCCCCGGGTATATTTCGCCAAAAATCTCATAGTACGCCATACATACCACTTAATTTATCAGTAGAAACAGTAGAACCCACTCAGAATCATTTTAAACCACTAAACAATCCTGATTCTAATGGTTCATGTGATATAAACTCGTAAAATAAATACGTTTTCGTTCGTTGTATTATCAGCCTCGTTCTGAACTTCAAATCGGGCGATAATAGGTAAATTGAAACTTCAACGTCAGGAAAATGGTTTAATTCTGTTTATTTTACTTAGCAATGTACAGAAATCGGTTTCTATACATAACAGTTTAGTTAATAAGTGAGAAAAGAAACTATAGAGATCATACTGATGAAGGAATTTGGCTGATTCCGCCCGGGAATCTAATTCAGCTGAATGCCGTCCATTGCCGGTAAGAAGATTTTGATGCCGGCATTAGGTCAAATTAGTGCCGTTGCCGGTAATGCGGTATTACCTCCGACCACTAGTTGGTAGAGCATCAGACTTTGGATCTTTTTTGTATCATCATCATTGTAAGCTTGTAATCAGGTGACAACATTTCACTTTTTCTAAGCCAGAGGCCCACAAAGGTCAGTTTTGGACAAATGTAACATGTAAGGGTGGAAATTCTTCATTGGATGCCCTTGTAAAACACTTAGTTGTGGTATTTGCTTCGCTTACTTTTTTAAAAATAAAACTTAGAGGCCATAATTCATCATTTTTAACTTTGTCAAGGGGATATCCCTGTAACAGGGATTATGTTTTAACAAGGCTTACTACCCCTGTTATGAAATAAAAGAGGAAATTACTAGATGAAAGTCATAGACAACAACCAGAGAGGCATCTCCCTTGGGGAAACTAGAATCACAAAATAACAGGAGATGACGTGACGATATGAATGTATTCCAGGCACATTCTATACGTATTAGCATGTCAATGTTTCCCTTATATCCCCTAGCTGTAGAGAGCTACATCTCAATGTTAAGTTAAGCATGATTTCTTATTAATTAGTAGAGCGGACGTTATTAGCGAAACTTAATTCTGTTACTTATGGGAATTTACTGACGATTTCTTCTCAATTTCAAGGCGCATAAAGTTTCAGAATCACGTAATAAACAAGGTCCTGTTATGTTGCCATGGTAAGGATTTTATTTCATTGTATGAGTCATTTATTTTATAACAGTGGCAGTGATTCAGATTGTTTAATATTGTAAATTATGGTTCTTCATATATTCACAGAGATGGACAGGTAGCTAATTCCCTGTAATTCTCAGATTGTCTGTTGTTGATGCAAAAAAATACAGAGGGGGATTTGTTTCCATCAAAACAAAGGAGAGTTTGCTCCCATCATTCCCCTGTATTTGTCAATGAAAGTCAGAGTTTGCTCCCATCATTCCCCTGTATTTGTCAATGAAAGTCAAAGGAGAGTTTGCTCCCTTCATTCCCCTATATTTGTCAATGAAAGTCATAGGAGGGTTGCTCCCATCATTCCCCTGTATTTGTCAATGAAACTCAGAGGAGAGTTTGCTCCCATCATTCCCCTGTATTTGTCAATGAAAGTCATAGGAGGGTTGCTCCCATCATTCCCCTGTATTTGTCAATGAAAGTCATAGGAGGGTTGCTCCCATCATTCCCCTGTATTTGTCAATGAAAGTCAGAGAAGAGTTTGCTCCCATCATTCTCCTGTATTTGTCAATGAAAGTCAAAGGAGGGTTTGTTCCCATCATTCCCCTGTATTTGTCAATGAAAGTCAAAGGAGGGTTTGCTCCCATCATTCCCCTGTATTTGTCAATGAAAGACAGAGCAGAGTTTGCTCCCATCATTCCCCTGTATTTGTCAATGAAAGTCAGAGGAGAGTTTGCTCCCATCATTCCCCTGTATTTGTCAATGAAAGTTAGAGAAGAGTTTGCCCCCATCATTCCCCTGGATTGTCAATGAAAGTCAGAGGAGAGTTTGCTCCAATCATTCCCCTGTATTTGTCAATGAAAGTCAGAGGAGAGTTTGCTCCCATCATTCCCCTGTATTTGTCAATGAAAGTCAAAGGAGGGTTTGCTCCCATCATTCCCCTGGATTTGTCAAAGGAGAGTTTGCTCCCACCTATCTCCTGTATTTGTCAATGAAAGACAGAGCAGAGTTTGCTCCCATCATTCCCCTGTATTTGTCAATGAAAGTCAGAGGAGAGTTTGCTCCCATCATTCCCCTGTATTTGTCAATAAAAGTAAAAGGAGAGTTTGCTCCAATCATTCCCCTGTATTTGTCAATAAAAGTAAAAGGAGAGTTTGCTCCAATCATTCCCCTGTATTTGTCAATGAAAGTCAGAGGAGAGTTTGCTCCCATCATTCCCCTGTATTTGTCAATGAAAATCAAAGGACAGTTTGCTCCCATCATTCCCCTGTATTTGTCAATGAAAGT